GGCTAGTGGAGCCCTATCAGAGAGACTAATTTTAAGTCTCTTCTGTGTGACTACTTCATGTTTTCACTCCTTCCAGATACTCAGGTCTGCTATCCCTGAGAAGTCTGGCGTTTTCGGCGGTCAGGACTATAGGACCTCTGCAAGAACAGCTGGAGAGCATTTCTCATTTTACCAATGCTTTGGTCCAGGCACAGAAATAGGGTTTGTATCTGCGATGCCACCTCCACCTGTTCTAGAAGGGACTTGCCTGTGTATTTTGTGCTTTCCTGAAGGGAGTGCAAAGATTTATTAGTAGTTTTATTTTTCGGCAGCAGATTTAGCTCTGGGATCCAGCCTTGCCGGCAGACGCCTGTTCTGCAGGAGGAGCCTTACCCAATTCGGCGTTGCTGTTCCCTGTCCCTGACTGCGACAGGCTTTTTTCATGAGTGTACTTTTTATTTTCCTTTTTTAAATGTCATGTGTCTGTGCTGTATTAAATAAAGAGGAATGTACATATTAGCCCTGTCTCTGTGATCTATCGTAGCAAAAGTGACGCAAAAACGTTTCACTCGGAGGGTTGTCCTTGGGGCTTTTGTGTTGGGGTTTTCAGTGCTGGTTTTCTTCGGGGGTAGGTGCCAGCTTTATTCAGTCTGGGCAGCCACAAACGCAAGGGCGATGCTGCGAGCAGGGAGCAGCGGCTGAAAGCTACCAGCCGAGCAGTAACAAAAGGAGCTCTTCTTTGGTAGCAGGTGCCCCCGAAGCACTGCCCACTGCAGCCGCTCAGGGAACCACGCATAACCCCGCCCCATACCCCCAGAGGGCCACACGGCTTCCGGCCCGCGAGCCGCGCGGAACGGCGCTGCCCAGTCAGAAGCGTTCCACCCTTTCCATAAAAGGCAGATGGGCGGGGACAGACGAGAAGTGCCTACACAGAAAACAACTTTTCGCGGCAGCCCCAGTGGCCTAATGGATAAGGCATTGGCCTCCTAAGCCAGGGATTGTGGGTTCGAGTCCCATCTGGGGTGGACTGTTTTTTTCTGCATCCAGGGGATAGCAGCGCCCTGCAGCTGCTTTGGAGCGTTACAGCCGCGTCCACTTTCTAGAGCGTTGGCCCAGGATTTCCGAGGGTCTGCGTCTTCTGGGATCACTCAGCGCCCCTCTCGGGCTCTATCGAGAGACCTCGGACACACACGTGGGCTGCGCGGGGGAGGCAGGAGGCCAGGGCCAACTCACCTCCCCCCAGCGGGACGGGCCCCTCCGCTGGTCCCACTGACCCCGCTCGGGACTGGCAAGCGGCCCCAAGGCGTCGCCCCCAAACGAACGGCCCGGGGCGAGAGAGAAGAAGCGCGCGCACGGGCCTTGACGCGGCCTCTCCTCGATACTCGACCTTCGGCACTTGACCTCCGCGGAGCACGCAGAGCTGGAGGACGCGATCGCCCGACTCGGCGCTCGATCGCCCGCCCTGGCCGAAGGCGCGAGCGTGGAATCCGCGCGCGCGCGCTTTTGGCCGCTTTCCTTATTGGCCGTCGGAGGGAGAGGTGCGCAAGATGGCGCCGCTGGGCTCTCCGTTGCGGACTTTGCGCGGGCTCCTGCGCGAGCTCCGCCACGCCAGCGGCAGGGCGGGCCGCCCCTATCGCGACACGCCTGCCTATCAGCATATCGTCGCGGCCTTCCGCGCCAACCGGGTACTAGCGGGGTGCGGCTCCCCTCACTCACCCACCCGTTCCTGCCTCTTTCTGCCGGGGAGGTGAGGCGGGGCGGGATTGGCCCCGCTTGTGGCGTCGGGGCGGGGTGTGAAGTCCCCGGGGCTTGATGGCTGCTCTCTGCAGGTGACCAGCGAGAAGCTGTGCCGGGCCCAGCAGGAGCTGCACTTCCAGGCTGCTACCTACCTCTGTCTGCTCCGCAGCGTCCGGGAGCACGAGGCCCTCCACCAGGAGTACCACGGCCGGGGTGAGCGCTCGCCTGAGGAGGTCGCCGGCCTGGTGGGCTTCAGGTTGCCTCAGCAGCCGGGAGGGAAAGGCTGAGGTGACTCTGCTGACTTACCTGTTTCTTCTGGAATAAAGGTCCTATCATTGAAACTGGCTGGGGTTTTCTGTCAGTCCTGGGTTGCAGGTGTGGTGTGATGTGAGAGGCAGCTGTCGTGGAATGGGAGAAGGACTGTTTGTAGTGAGAAAAAGTAACAGCCTTTGCTGCTAAACTGCTTAAGGAGGTGCAAGGGTTGTTGGTTCCCCCCTCAAAACCTGTAGGTAAGAGAACTGGCCTATTTACTGTAGATTTGCCAGCCACATTCTATACATGGGGAATTTTCTACTCTCCCAAGACTGAAGGTACCTTCTTTGGATCACTGGATCCTGGTGAGTGCAGCAACAGTACAAACCTCTTTTTTAATCTTGAAGATTGTTTTTTCCATGGTGGTGAGCTAGAAGCAATAATTAAAAAAGCCAAATACCACTTCATGTGTTACAGGTTTCCCAGTGTCTCTGAGCGGTTGGCTCTGAGACTGTAGGCTTCCTATGCTGTTCTCACACACTGAGTGAGTCTCACTAAAGTAAGCGGATGACTGCCAATGACACTAGATACACCAAATTGCCATTTTCTTGTCTTGCAATCTGGAACAGCAAGTTTCTTTTAAAAAGAAATACTGCCTTACATTGTTGCTTTCCTCTAAGAAAAGGGTTGGATTATATGCAAAATACATAGAAGCACAGAAACACAGAATGGTTTGAGTTGAATGGACCTAAAGATCATTTAGTTCCAACCCCTTGCCACGGGCAGGGGCACATCCCACTAGACTAGGTTGCTCAGAGCCCCATCCAGCCTGGCCTTGAACACTGTCAGGGATGAGGCAGCCACTGCCCCTCTGGGAAGCCTGTGCCAGGGCCTCACCACTAAAGAACTTTTTCCTAATGTCTAATGTAGAACTCCCTCTTGTCAGTTTAAAGCAATTCCCCCTTGTCCTGTCCCTACCTACCCTTGTAAGAAGTCCCTCTCCAGATTTCTTGTAAGTCATTTTAGGTACTAGAGGCTGCTGTAAGGTCTCCCTGGAACAACCACAACTCCCTCAGCCTCAGACCATTTCTGTAGCCATTATCTGGACTCACCTGAGCAGGCCCATGTCTTTATTATGTCGGGCAACTTATAATGCCTAAAAATGTGAGGCTGATTTATATGGGGCAGGAGCTATAAGCAAGGCTAACAAAAAAGTGCTTGTTATTTTTTATTACCAAGAAAAACAAGCTATCCTGGCAGAAAAGCACTGCAGATAGGATGACATCATCTAAATCTATGTATTTTCCTTAGTCTGTATTTAAAACTCAGAGATAGTTTAATACCAAAGAATTGGGTATTAGTGTTAGGCACAACAGATACTTAAAACTGGGGAGACTCAGGGTACTTAAGTAAAGTACAGAGATGTGAACTTTAATGTTCTGTAGACCAGGTTTGCAGTTCTTGCCATGTCTCACTGGTTAAAACTGACAGGTGTCCTTTTGACAAGTGTTGATACCCTAGGTGGGAAAGTACCAACTAATTTGCAGTGACAGATGAAAATCAGAGGAGGTCACTATACCCTGAGAATGGCTGCAAAGTATTTGTTGTTCCCAGTTATTTAATGCAGCTGCTTCATTCTGCAGTTTACTTTTCAGGTGGACTGAAGGTTTGCTGCATCCAAAGGCTGTGGTGCACTGTTCTGGAAGTAAAATTGGTTCATTGAAAACAGTTCTGGAAGAAAAGCTGAAATTTGGCCAGAAATAATTAAAAAAAAACCCAACAAAAACTAAAACTAAGGTTGTACACTGTGATTATAAGTAATAGATATTTTTTTTCAATTTTCTTCAAACATGCTAAGGTGCTAAATAAAGAAAATTTTAAGCACTATTGGTATCTCTTCCAGTTACATCCCCTTCAATCCAGAGTAATGTAACGACTAACAAAAGTAAATTTACATGTTAAAAGAAAACCCAAAGCCGGGCCTTGCTCTGAGAGGAGCACCCGGTAGGAAACCTTTTCCTGAACGTGTTACAGAAGATTCCTGTCTGAGCGTTTCATCTCTCTGCAAGCTCTCGTGAAACCCAGATTAAGTGTGGCAGGAGTTTTCATGGCTTTATGTGTTGTTTTCTTAAATACACCGTCAAAGTTGAGCACGATTCTGGTCGCGGCAGTCGACAACTGATTCTTGTGACAGTCCTTGAGAGCTTTGGGGCGCTAGATGGCAACACGGTGGTTAAGAAAGGGAGAGCTGCAAACGCAGGTGTTAGGATAGATTAAAAAAAAAATTACAGAAATAGTCATTTTGAGACTGCATCTCGGTGTTCTGTAAGCCGAATTAGCTGCAACAACCATCGGTAACGTGAGGAGGGAGGTTCTCTAAAAAGCGAGTGTTACAGCAGCTTTTCTCAGCACTGACATAAGGACGAAGCCGTTAAAATGGAGCTGTCAGTTCAAGAAGGGAATTGTCCTTCGGCAGCCTATTCCGTCAGCGCTAGCTCCGGCGTACATATCCGTCCGAGCAGTCGCGGGTCTAAACTCGCTCCCGTCACCCAGTGAGCGTCCCATCGATGAGAGGGGATGAGCGAGCAGGGCCGGGCTGCGAGCGACGCCCGTTACGCGGCCAGTCTCCCCTCCGGCTTTGTGTCAGTTTCAGCCCAGCCACCTGCTCTGGCACGTCAGAATCGGCCCTCGGCAAACGTCCGGTTCGGTCTCCCCTCACAGAGGATGAGAACTCGGATCGATCCCACCGGTGATGGGCAATGCCCGGCTCTCGCTCCCCGGGAGCCGGAGAAGCCCCTCCACGGCCCCGCCTCGCCCCACCGCCGCTGACCCGGGGATGTCACAGTGGTTACCCGGAGCCACCCTGCCAATCCACCCGTCTCAAGAGTCCAGCCTCGCGGCTCAATCAGAAGCCTCGCCGCGCACTGCGTCACCGGTCGAATACCGCAGGCCGTGGCCAATTAGCGGGCGCCAAGACCCGTCCGCGCTGACGTCGCGGCGCGGCTGAGGTGGGGGGGCCCGAGGGCGCGTGCGCGCGGGTTTCCGTTACCGCTGGCGCGCGCGCGTGGCAGGCGTGAGGGGAAGAGGGAGGAACGGAGGGGAGAGGGGAGGCGGCGGCACCACCGAGGCACGCGGGATCGGTTTCCCGCTTCGTCTCCCGCCATCAGCGAGAGGCAAAGGCAGCTGTCGCTTCCCTCCTTCCCCCGCCCGCGGCGCCGGGGGAGCGGCTCCGCCCGGGCCCGCCAGTGACGCGGGTGGGAGGGCTGAGCGCCGCGCCGGGCCTCGGGCCTTGTAGGCCGCTGTCGGCGTGACTCGGCCGGGCCGGGCCGGCCCCCCCGCGCGCTCAAGATGTCGGCGCAGGCCCAGATGCGCGCCATGCTGGATCAGCTCATGGGCACGTCCCGGGACGGTAAGTGACCCCCCGGCCGGGGATGGGGCGGGGGAGAGGGAGACGGGGTGGAGCCGCCGAAGCCCCTGAGGTCACCGTGGTACCGGGCAGGTCGGCTGGCCGGCCGTTCACCGTGATTGGTAGGCCCGGGACCCGCTCCCTGCCCGCCTTCCCCCGTGGGGCGGGGCCTGCTGAAGGCCGTAGGTTAGCGCGGAATGGGTGCTTTCGTCGCTCCCGCCCCCGGGGTCTGGGGGAGTCAGACGTCGCCTCCCTCCGCGGAGCTGCCAGCGCCGGCCCCTGTGCAGGCAGTGGGAGGCCGCGCTGCCGTTTCGGTTGCGGTTTAAGCTCGGATCCCCTCGGTACCCAGGGCTCGCGGCGAAAGCGTGCCGCTAAAGGTGTGCGCGCTGAGCTTTCCCGCGCAGCTTCCGCTGAGGAGACAGCAGTTTGCTAGATTGAGCTTATGAGGGAGCAAACTAGAACCCCCCCCCCTCCGAACCAACACCCGCTATAGTAGAGCAGGAATTGGGGATGGGGTTTTTTGGTGGTGGTACAATTTTGCGTAAAGTCTGACCCAGACCGTCATTTCAGTTAGCAGGTGGGTATGGTGTTGCTTTCTGAAAGAGTGTAGTTAGCCCAAGTGAACTAAGTCTTTTAAAAACGAGCCCCCAACAGTTACTTAAAAGCTTTACGTTTAGAGGCAGTAATCCCAAGAGGGACATATTATATGTACAGTCAGGTTTGTGATTGCTGGGGTCACATAGTGAGCTGAAGATTACCACTGTGTAAAGCTGCTCAGAATTTTTGTCAGGGTGTGTGGCGATTGACATGAAAGTTTGAACTGGCAGTCGCCCAGAAATCCAAATAGCTTGGAGTCTGCTAAAAAAAAGCAGTTCCGTTTTTCTGTGTAGTATTTTATATATAAACAAGGGAATACTGCATCCGAGGATAGACAGCAATTGGAGATTATTCAAATAATAATTTGCTCTGCACGTTGTACTTGCTCTTGCAGATGTGTTACATGTTTGTTGAGTCTTTGTGGTGAATTAATGGTTACCTGTTTTCCTATGCACCAAATAGAATGAATAAGCTACATATTGTATGCTCTGTCTTGTATGGTGCCAGTCATCGGTTGGTACTAGGGTAATGTCATCTGACAGCTTTTTTTTTTTTTATAATCTAGTATTTTAAATAAATGTAATTAGTTTTCACTTACCTGGTGTATCATTAATACCTTCTGCTAGGTGCCTACAGTTGTTTTTAAACAAGGGGATGATAATCTCATTAAAAAACTATTGTTCTTCCAAAACTGCCTTCCCAAGCAAGGCTGGTTAGTGAGTAGTCATCCTGCAGGACCTGATTTAGGGTGTTTTAGACTTGCTCCAGAAGATTTTTGAATGCTTCCTGTTGTGGCTGCGTGTGTCCAAGTGCTTGGCAAAGTAACCATACACATGGAACTCAAGTCTTCCCAGTGCTGGCACCTAAATTGCTGTCTCAGAGCTACCTAAGACAACACAGAAAACTTAAGGGGGGGGAGCTGTGTGACTGTTTCCATTTATGAATGTGTTTTCTGTTCATTGGCATGATTTACCTGTGATAGCTGCTTAAAAATGCTGAGTGACTATAAGATCTAAACCAAGAAAGGCCATTTCAGGCTATATTTCCTTTAGCTTTGTGAAAATAACAGTTATTTTATTGAGAATTGTATTCCCCCACATCACTTGCCCTGTAATTCCCAAACCACATCTGCTGAACTGTTTAAAATCTAACTAGTTAGAGAGGCAGCATTTAAATGAAATGGGCAGAATGGGGAAGGATAAGGAGGAAAGACTGCAAAGCAGGCGTCCATTATTGGATTAAGTGAGGAACTGAAGATCTCAGTGTAACACAATTTTAGGTTTTGGTTTTGTTTTAAATTCTGTGGAGTATTATTTAAACCAAAGTATGCACAGGGATTGAAAGTCATCCTTTTCCTGCAGAGCTGCTACTTACTAAATTCAAGGCCAGGCTCAAGGTCATTGAAATATTGCTAACCTTGAGAGTAGTGGGGTTTGGAATCATCTGGGGGTTTATGTTCCTATCACCTTTGACAAATACTGTGTTTCTAGTAACATGCAAATTGCAGATTTTTATCAGAATGTGCAATTTTTTCACTTCTTTGTAGAGGGCAGGTTTCACTTCACTACTTGTCCCCATTGCCTTTGGTTGATGTTTGTGGCTTATGTTGTTCAGAATTACCAAAGCACTTTTTAATTTCTTGATTAATAGAATTTTATGCTTTACAATTCAGGGGTTTTGGGGTTTTTTTCCTTTTGTTTTTGTTGGTTGGTTGTTCTGTTTTGTTGAAGTGCAAGTTTAAAATTCTTCCTTGCACAAGAGACAGATCAAATATTTAATCTATTCAGTGCGTATAGAATGAACTCAATTCCAAGCCAATGGTAGTGGCTTGATACATAGTCTGTATTACTTTTTAGCTTATAGTATCATTTGTAGAAAAAGGGAACGTGCTCTTTGGAGAATGTTCCACAATTGGATGCTCAAACATGGTTTTAGAAGATGAGCTGTAGGCTGTAATTTATGGAAGTTTGCACACTTCCTGTAACTGGTGTCCCTTGGGCCAGAATGGAGAAGCTTGGAGGATGTAGCTATTAAATGTTTTTATGGATTTGCTGTTAAGCTCTGAGAGCACCTAGAAAGCACAGTTCTGTATTGGTCAAATTGATTCAGAAAATACCCACTGAACTGTTAAGAATATTTCTGAGAAATAAACGGTGTTACTAAGGTGTTACTAAGGAGCCTTCTAATTTCAAATAGAGTTATCCAATGTGTGGCTGTCTAGAACTAGGTATATTGTTCCAGGCCTGTCCCTTGCCCTTCCCCTGTTGTTGCAGGGAGGGAGATCAGAGAGCTGTGTGACTTTGGCAACCCGTTTCCTCTCTTGTCTGAATTTTGGCAGTGGGATGATGCTCTTGTTGTCACACAGTGTCACTCAATGTGTGATGAACTGCAGCCTGGTACCTGCCAGGATGTGAGGTTCAGGCAGTGCTGTGCTGCTCCGTGCTGGCCTTTGCTCATGTGACAGACACCTGCCAGGCAATGAAACAGAAGGGGCTTGGCAGATGCTCTTCAAGAGTTTCCAGTGAGTTGTAGTTGTTAGGCTTCACAGAATTCCAGAATGGTTTGGGTTGGAAAGGACTTTAAAATCATCTAATTCCAGCCCTCTGCCATGGGCAGGGACACCTCACAAGTGTTGCTCAAGGTTCTGTCCAACCTGGCCTTGAACACTGCCAGGATGAAGCATTTACCACTTCTGTGATACTTCATCTGTGACATCTCAAAAGCAATTGTATTCTTAATACAATGAAATCATTCTGTAAATGGCATGTATGGTTCTCTTACACACCTGGAAAAGCACATTATTTAAAAACAAGTGTGTTTTAAAATTCCTTATATACCTAACTTCAACTTCTCTTGCACTCTTTTCTGGCAAGAAGTGGAAAACTGGATTGGACAATTGGATGTGGACCATGCCAAAACTTTTTTTTTTTTTTTTAAGTTAGATTTTGATGTTAGTAAAAAGCTGGACTAATTTAATACAGTCATGACTGCAGGTTAAAACAAAATCTTCTCTGAAGTATGTCCTTCCCTACTGATGTACTGAATCTGGCATATAATTAACTAGATATACTAGATACTTAACTAGATACTAGATATTTAACTAGATACTTAACTTAAATATAAACTACTAAATACATAGTGTGGGTTTCCCAAATACTGAGAAATAGAGTGCTGAAGGCCAGGTGCTAATCTTATGAAGTTACATAAGAATGTGTTTGTTATATTATTTCATTTACTGCTGGAAGTTAAACTAAAGGACTTTTTATTACATATGTCAATAGTTAAAAGATTAGTTCAAGTTGAATTTATTCTTGATGACCAGAGCTGTGGGAACCTGTCACTCAGAAGTATTAGAAATAAGCTGATAGAAAAGTCTGATTTTTTTTTTTTTTTGGTAATTTTTTTTTGGTAGTACTATTTTTCAACTGTAAAATTGATTGAACTTTTTTTTAATAATATTTAGGCAAACCCTTTTTTTCAGTCCATGTCATCTAGAAAACAAAAGTGACCCTTATGAATGGGATAATTGTTTTAAATCAATTGATTAATTTAAAAATGGAGTGAAATGGTAACTATTTATATTAGTACCCCTGGAATTTTATTTCTTTTTCTTCCAGGATATGACAGAATTGAGCAAAGATTGCCCAGTTTTCTTTAAAAGGCCTGATTGTAGAAATCCCATTTTATCTTAAAACAGCTTACGTTGCTCAACTTTTTTTTTTTTTTCCTGCCAGGTCAGTTACCTGCTCACCTTGCAAAGTGCTAGAGTTGGTGTGAGGAATCCTTTAGAAGCAGAGGGTGGAGCAGCATCATTACTTCTGACTGTAGTGCAGGCAGAGCAAATCTGAATGGCCCTGGAACCACATCTTGAAACTGCTGGACTTCACTGTTGCAAAGAAATGTGGTGGTGGTTTTCGTTTTTGTTTTTTAGTAATTGCCACTACATCAAAATTAGGTTGTAGTCTAGAAATACAAAAGAAGTTACTTAAATTATTCTTAAGAGACAGGTAAATTTGTGCATGCTTCTGAGGCTTACAGGTGGTCATGAAAATTTTCTCCCAAGCATCCTAACAAATTCTATTTTGTATAATTATCTGAAACATTTTTAGAGGTATAGAACCTGTGTGTATGAAGTGCCAGTTAGCAACTCTTCTGTTTCATCTGCTAGGTTTTTGACTGAACTGCTCACTGTGCTTGGAGTCTTTAACTCAGTTCTAGATCACTTTCTTCTGGCATTGAAACTTAAAATATCCTTTTTGCATCTACTCACATCTTAATCAGTTTTTTCTGTTCTACGCTAGCCACTTCAGTTACCCTTAGTAATGGTTACTAATGTGTGACTTTTCTGTCCTGCTTGTTTGGGAGGAGTTGAAGTGACACCCCTCTGCTTATCTTAGTCATCTGGCATTTGGTGACGTGCTTTTTATGGTAACAGAGGTGCAATCTATGACTTGGAACCCATTTTTTAATCATTTCCATATGGGCAACGTGTGTACGTAAGGGTGGCTGATGTGTTGATGTTGGTATTATCAGGGTACATAGATTTTGTTTTCCACTTTGCTTTATACTCTATAAAGGTGAAAGGTAGTATGTGCTTTTGAAGTTTCAGTATCTTGTCAGTTACTGGAGGACTGATAGCCATTTGGGTAGCTTCAGGCTGAGAGCCAGGTTAGGGAGCCAGGAGCCTTCTCTGAGAGCTTTTCTTTAAAGTAAGGATCAGGAACAAAGGAAAGTCAGAAAAAAATATCTTTTATACACAGATATTTGCAAAACCTATCTAAAATGTTGAATTGATACCAACTCAGAAGTCTGAAAGTAGTAGCAACATATGAACTTTGTTAAAAGATTCTTCATTTGTCCATCAAGAGTGACCAGAAGGCTTTAAGAGCAACGATCATGTTTAGTGAACTGTGTGTATTTGCTGGCTTCATTATAAAGTTCTGGAACTTTATCCTTTAAAAATTAGGGACTTGAGGAATTTTTCTGCTCTGGATATGGGACATCATATGAAATGGCAGTTGTGAAGAAGCAAATGGACTTCTTCACATTCATACTTCATAGAAGAAGATTCCCATGTTGGTTCCACTTGTAAGGTATTAGCTAAAAATGGTTTCATTATATTTTGAATTCACAAGTATCAATTTAGTCATAGAGTAAACCAGAAGCAATTTGCTTAGTAATAAATTGTTCTAAAGGTGTTACGGTGAATATGTGTCCAAGGTTAGTGATAAGAGTATCACAACTGCCTGCCTGTTCAGTGTGTAGCAGGAGCAGGATCTTCTGTGACCATGTAAGCCTCAGTTAAATAATGATGCTAAATACCTGCTATACAGGGCTTGCTTTGCTGATGAAATTTGATATGCAGTCTTTAACCTGATATTCCACCCAGTAAGTAGCTCTCTGTGAGTGAAGCTTTCAGAATCCCTTGCCAGTGTGCTGGGACTCATGCCTCAAACACCTGAGCGGAAAGCTACCCTGTTTTGGTTGATGTAGCTTAATGCAGGAGGTCAGAAGCATGGAAATGCACATCATTGTCTTTGTATGGATTGTACCACTAGTTTGCGATTAGAGGTTATAATTGGATTAAAAAGGGTAACTTTCACCAACACATTGGTATTGATGTTGTTGGTAGTGTATTATTAGAATAAATCAGGATAGTAAGAGATTCTGGGTAAAGTAAATCATTGTTATAAGCATGTTATAATGCTAAGCATTGTTGATACATAAGTGTTTGTTCCTCTGATTTGTGATTAAAATAATACAGAACAAGAATGACATTGTGGAGGCTGCTAATAGGTTAGGCTTCAGAGTTCAAAGTGAATTGGATAGTACAAGTGCACATTGTGATCTTAACCTCTGGGTGTTCCTTAATCAGCAGTCTGCATTCATCTGGAATATTGGTGTTGCTTTTGTAGTCAACATATTTAATACAAATGTCTTTTAGAAAGTTTACGTTACTGCCATCATCTCTTTAATGTTTGTGTTTCTAGTTTGCAGTTTCCTTATTCTTACACAGTATATGAGATGTGCAAGTGTAGTAATTTCCTTGATTTTTGGCTTATTTTCTGGAATTGTTTCAATTCTGTTTCAAAGTTTTCCATTCATCTGGAAAGCAGTCTCTCACAGAAATGTGGTTTGGGCCAGGTACATAAAGTAAAACTAAAGCTGCTGCTTCTTGAAGAAAATTGAATTAATTTTTTCTGTATCATAAATTTTATCAATAATATGATTTTTTTTTTTAATGGAGAAAATGTAGTTGGAAACGCAGGGATGGCTGCAGCAGTAGATGTTGACTCCTGTAATGCCCTGGTAAATTATTTTGATTTCTTTAATGAGCCTGAGTCCTAAAGACCAAGTAGTTGAATCCTCTGCTGTTCTTCAGAGGCAGAGTTAAATAGTTGCTATTCTGAGCTAATTTAATTATTTACCTGTAAAAATAGGACTTGTAATAAGGTCTGAAATATCGGTGATAGTGTCCCCTTTTTAAACATTTCAGGATACTTCTAAAATTTAGATGACTGCAGCTGCTTGGTACCTGTGTATTATTTTCTTCTTACATAATATATAATGGATTTTTTATTTTTTTTAACACTGTTAGCATTCACTTGACCATACAAAGAGTACATCAACCTACATACAGTTTGGCAAAGAGAAGTACTGTCTTGGTTATCTGACATACAACTGAAGTTCTTGGCTTAAAAACACTTCTGTTCACATTAAGTCCTAGAAGGTATCTGCAAAAGCCTCTTTTGCTATAGGCTGAATGTCAGTTGTATAGTTGATCCATAGATTTTCATCTGCCCTCCCTCCTCAGCAACCCATGCATACCCCAGGTCATCATCTATTCAAGATGATTCATTTGCGGGTCAGCAGCAGAATGCATCTTCTGTCTTTGCCAGTGGGTCTGCACTGGTCAGGGGTATTGAAGCTCACAAAATTCATGAAGAAATAAAAGCGTTTTCAGACTCAGGAATGAGCTGCCAGAGGCACACAAAATTCAGTCATAATATGTGACGCTTTTTCTTCTAATAAACCTTTTCTACTGAGACAACAAAGATTAGAAAGAAATGCAGATGTGTGAAACTGCTTTTCATAGGAAGGAAAAGGTGAATTAACTCACTAAAGGCATAGTGCAGAAAGAATAAATGTTTCAAATGTAAATGTGGAATGTGATCTTGAGGCTGTCATTGATGGTTTGCTGCTACTTCCTGCCTCCATGTTGCCTTCTCTCAGTTTAGTAATTGTGATTATCATGTTAGCCACTTAGATTTATAAAGACTGTATTGCAGCAGTAGTGTCGGTTCCTAGTTGTGGTAGGGGTATGGAAAAAGCTAAGTCTAGGTGTTGAGGTAACATCTGGGAAAATACTACTTGCCAAGTTTACCTCAAGAACAATGAGTCTCTCAGCAATTGTCTGGTCTTGGTAACTCCTTGACTCCCGAGAGCTTAGCGGTGTTAGGCCATTGGCTGTATTCTTTCAGATACTTTTCTTCATTTTGTTCATGTGTCTTTATATGAAAGAATCTTTACAGTCAACATGTATTTCTAGATGCTGTGTTAAAATTGCTGGCAGAGTCTATTATTCTATACAAACTGAACAATCTGGCCCCTTGTTTTATTTATAAAGGTTCAATGTATCTTTGCCTGCCTACATCAATCTGCAAGGGAGTGTCAGAAAGGCCCCGCATTCGCCGAGCCGTGAGTTATCAATAACTTTTCAGATGTGTTAATGAATGTGGAACAAACGCAGTTATGTGATTTAAAAAAATATGGATCCACCTCCTAGAAACCAACGAGACAAAAGGCAAAACTCTTTACTGCAGTAGCAGGCATGATTATAAAGGGATCGGTCTAAATATTTTTGTAGTATAACTAATCCACAAGGTTTCCCTCTAGAAAACCTATTGTTGAACTGCTTTGAAGCTGTCTTTAGTGTGTGGATTACAGGTTTTAACTGTTGTATCCTGCAGGCAAATTATGTATGTGGTGTCTTTGGAAACTTTACTTTGGTTAATAATATGAAACTTGTTCAATCTGAAAATGGTACGTATTATCATCCTATGCATAGAACTGATATTTAAAAATCCAATTACATAAGAAGAAAGGCTTGTCTAATAAGATAGGGGTTTTTTAAATTCCCCTCTGTTGTAGTTACCTCAGTAATGAATTCGGCTTCTTGAATTAATAGATTCAAAATTCTCAGTGTTTGAGGTCATGAAGCCATAAAAAACCCCCAACTTTAACTGCAAAATGTATCTACAGTCTTAAAAATACTTGATGAAATGGAAAAGGCTGCTGTCTGAACTCAATTCTTTGTCTTTTTTTTTTTTTCCCCAGCAGCCCTTCTTGCTTCAGTAATTCACCAGTAGGTTTTCAGTGATTAGAGATCTTAACAAGTTGTTATGTTTTTAAAAATAATAACAAGATACATCCTGGGAGAGATTAAGGTGTTCTATCATGCCTGTGTCTTAACAACAAGAGAGCTATAGCAGTGATCTCTTTTAAATCTCAAGTAGTGACAATTATGCTATGACTTGAAGGAAAACATATTCCTGCCCTCATCCCCAGAATACCAGCTAGTTATTTTGTTCTGAAGACTTCAGGTCTTGCTCCAAGATGGGATTATTTAAACTTGCACTTGGACCTCAGTCTGTGGGCAGGTTGATGCTTCTGCTGATGCAGGAACTACAACCTGCCATTATGAAGATACAACTGAGAGGTTTCCAGCCCAACAAACACCACGTAAAAAAGAAAGAAAGAGAAAAAAAGAAAAAGGCTTATGATACGGAGATATGCAAACATGTAAAATAATTTTGCATACAGGTTATGCTCATATGTTTGATGGTTTTTTTCAGGTTTGTAAGCGTGTAAAATAATTCTTCTGCCAGCTCTTTATGTACTCCCATCAGAAGTAAGAGGGTGCATTGCATCCAAGAGCAAAATCATAAAATGAGTATCAGGTGGGGTTCGATGAAGACTCAGTGTGTATCATTTTGTGTTTATGAGGTTTCTTTTATATGCTAATTGTTGCATAAAAATACACCACTATTTCATGCAAAATCTGAGTTGAATGTTATATGGCTCATTTAACAAATGCTGTTATAGCAAAGTGTTTTTAAACTAATACTGTCTGTCTGGTTTCAAGCACTTTTCACACTCCATTTTTGAAGGGGAAGTGTGAGAGGACTTTAAAACAGAATTATAGAGTATTTAAATGCACATTTGTGGTTTTGGTGTTATTTGGCAAAGAAGCATAGTGTTTTAAGTTCAGTTTCTGTAGACCTTCCATATGTGACAGGGTAGTGTTAATGCTTTGCATGTGATCTGCAGAACGTGTCTGGCTCCCCCAGATTTCTAACCTGGAACATGTTGATTTCTATATTGCAGGTGACACAACCCGTCAGCGAATTAAATTCAATGATGACAGAGTGTGCAAGAGCCACCTTCTCAACTGCTGCCCTCATGATGTGCTGTCTGGAACTGTATGTAGCTAAATCTTGTGGGTTTTTTAGACAAGAATGGAGAAACTGATTTGTACTTGTTCTTTGTAATATCTATTTTAATTTCATCATTTTCAGCAAGTATGTAGTGCTCTCTGGTGGTTCAGAGGAACTTTTGCAAACAACTAATTTATAGGTTATGAGTTGATTTGTGGAAGTTTGCTGTTCTACATGGCAGTTATTATTTACAAATTCAACATTGTTTGCTGTAACTAAAAAAAATCTAAATAAAATGTTACCTACATGAATTTTGCAATAACTAAATGATTTTAAGCTGGTACAGCTGCAACTAGTAGAAGAAAGGAAATATAATTTATGCATAAATTCTGAATTTACTTTCTTAAAACTTGATGTTGTAGCGAGATGGTATTCTACACAAATACTTGTATAGGGAAGAGAGGTGATCTTTCTTCAGAAATATTTTAGCGAAAACAGTTGAAAGTTCAGATAATTGAATTTCTAGAAGCTGAGGTATATTTAACATGACAGTGACACTTACGTACAATATCCAGCTACTGTGCCATTGTCACAAATTCTAAGGCAATTTAAAATCTCCATGCCATATTAGTAACTTGTTTGACTTGCAGTTTTGTGTACTCTGTAGTAGAGGTTCCCGTGCCTGAGCATAGCAAACAAGGGACTTCGACACATGCCACTAGTGTTGTCAGTATGCCTGTGCTTTACCTTGCTTATTCTTTGTGAAAGGCAGGTGAGTTACAGTGCATTGATTATGTAACCTGGTGTTCTGTGATACTAGAATAACTAACTATAGGGAGATGAGTATGATTATTTGCAGAGTCTCAGGTGCCTGGCAGTCTTAATGCTGCACTTCGGCAGCTTTTCTTGCTCATGTTGGCATGTTTTCTTACCCTGTGGCAGTACTGGAAAGCCTGTATTAAGAATTATTTGAAGCGTTACTGGTTCTCTGTGCTGTTACCATTCCAAATGGGTAAGTGGACTGGAGCCTTTTAACAAAGTACAGAATTGCAAAATGGAAAACTGAAACATGTAGACATAACTGATTTACTTGTCACCTGGCTTCTTAATATGTTTTCCAAGCAGCTGTGGTTTTAACTTGCGCTAGTGTTTTTGGTTGATCAAAGGGCTTCAAACATGCATGCACACACTAATTTTGTTTGCTTTAGTAATTTTGTTACTTGTACTGACAGATCAATAGTTACAGTCCATTCTTCCTTCTTCTTACGAGTCCCTGCAAAAGTAGGCACAACTGTAATTCCTAAGGAGTACAGGAAGAGGCAGCAAAATAGTAGAACCGAACTAGGGGATTTAGCATTTGTCATATTAAAAAAGGCAATAGAATAGAAAAAGGTCCACTTGCTGAGCTTCTACATAAGTTTTGCGGCTTCCTAAGCTTTTTTTCCTATCCTTAAAGACTCCCTTTCCTTTTTATTTTTTATCACAAAGTTCTTTCATACCACAAAAATCGAATGTCTTGAAGTTACTGTGTATTTGGCATATACTGTTTGGGCACTGGTTCAGATGCATAAGTCAGTGGTTTTAAGAGTTTGCTCATTCTTTTTAAGTTCTGAATTTTATAATGGGAGATTAATAAGACTTTGTAAACCCTGGCTGCTGGAACACAGTAATTTACCACTTAAAGTTAGCAATTTTCTTTTTTTCTGTCTCAAAGGGTTAACACTCACTTTAGGGTATTTTTTTTTTTAATCCGTAATAGTTGCTAATGATCAGGCTTGTGGGGTTTTTGTTATTAGTTTGGTTTGGGGTTTTTTTGTCCTTCCCTAAACCATGGTTCTTGAGTTATTATTTTATCAGCATTACAAAAACGTTTGCTTATATTTATTTATGTTATGAGATTAGGACTGAAGCAGCATGCATAGGAGCTGGGTGACTCCTCTGTAATGGTGTGAATCTCTTCAGCAGCATTCTTTGGATGTAAGCTTTCTACTGTCTTCAGCAGGGTTTACAAGATGCGCAAGAATGCGTTTTCTGTATCATTGTACATTTCTGAATTAATATTTGGTTACTAAAGAAAATGAGAAGTTGGGAAGATTTAAAGCAAATACACTTAATAAGGTTAAAAGTAGTAATGTCTTGAATATTTATAGTATCTTCAAAGCTATCTTTGAAGAGCCCAAGCAGTTCTGCAGCAATCTGGTTTTCTTATAAGCTTGATTTTGCTTCCCTGTTGAAAAAATTTCATGAATACTGTCTGTGGTCTTGCAAACCATGGTTGAGAAACTCCTTTCAGCTCAGTGGATTAACTTTAGGTTTGTATTTATGTGTATTTGTTGAGGAGCATTGCTTCTTGCGTTTTGTTTATACAGACCTCAAAGTATGGTATGCTCAGTCCTGCAGTAAAGAGTATCTTTAGGAACTCATGAACTCATTGCACTCAGTTCATTAGGACTCTTGCTGGCTAAAACCATATTGATTGAGACCTTGGTTTAGCAATATACTTTAATACGTGATTAACTTTAAGCTTATTAAGGGTGGAATTCAGCTCCAGATGGACATCTAAATTTAGGTCTCATCTGAAGCAGCTAGTTTTTGAAGTTAGAAGGGATGTAGGCAGTGTAGCATAGAGGAAGATGCTACTGGGTATCCCTCTCAAGGTGAGCTGAATCTATTTAGGCTCACTGACTGTACTGTTGAAATCTCCTTTTACTGTGAAAAACAAGTTAAGTTAGTTCACGCATCTGCAGAGAGGTTTTAGCAAGGTGTTTTAATCTGGATTCGATTTCTTTGCCAGTAGTCCCATTGACTCTGGAACTATTTGCATGCTTAAAACTTAGGTGTGCCAGTGTGATCATTTGCTATAGTGTTGTAAAAAAGCATTCTTCTGGAAGTCACCAGCTTTTAAGTTCAGGACTGCTTTGTTTGCAAGAACTCTCTTAGCTTTGCAAATCAAATTAAATTACTCTTGCATAAAACACCTAAATTTGTAGCCCAGTAGTGATGAATTGTAAAGTGCTCATATCTGCCTCTTGAAAATCATAATCTTGATTTCTTAGATTAGTGCCAGGCAAGTAAACTGATTGTGCCATGTTCCATCTAATGGGTTTAATTTATCTAGATTTATCAACGGTAATGGATTATATAATCAGGCTATAAGTCCAAGTACTGTGTAAATACCGAAACATTTTAAAATAAGAGTGCTGCTAGCTTTGTCTTTCAGTGAAGATCTAGTTTAAGGAATTAAGTATTTCAAAGTGAGTATGGTTAAAGGGAGAAATGTATTTAAAGTATTATATTTCTGAAGATACCTGGAATTTTCAGGGGTTGCTAAGGACTTCAGTAACATAATAATTTCTGCCTCTTTTTAGCTCAGCATTTATTTCCTGCTGGTGAAGTCAAACTTAAGAAAAGTTAACTCTGTTAGTGGAGCCAGAGGACATTTGTTGCCTACAAGGATAAGCTTTATCACAAGTCTAGAAATCTGTTTAAGAAAATGGTTAGTGCAGATGAAAATTGAATTCCATAATAAGGAACATCTCAGCAAAGAGTCTTTCTGAAGCTTCTTTTTATCAGTAGCAAGGGTGTTCACATACAGACCCCAATAGTTGCCTTGACAATTGGATAAAAGGAGAGAGATCCAGTTCCTTCAGTACAAATTTTTCAGTAATGTCAGATTTTCACAGACAAACAAACAGAATCCTTCTCTTGCTGAATACGAACTGCTTTTGTATGGGTATCATTACAGCTAGAAAGAATTTTCTGTGTAAGTACTGCCCCCAAAGTATCTTCTTTCAAGACCTGTCAAAAATGCATGCTGGTTTTAGAAGTAGTGGTAGTATGTGCTACTGTGTCACACTTGGCTCAATGTCAATCCTCTGTGTTTTAATTCAAGTAGCTTTGGCTTTTCTGTGCTCCTTTTTGCACTTCATATAGAGTACATTCACTAATCTGATCTCTGATGTCAAAGCAATGCGTAGACGCTGCAAAAGTGCCAGAATGGGAATTTTGCTGTAGATAGCTGAGGATCTGAAAAGAAAGCTTTCTTAATTTGATGTTCCAGAAACAGCATCACATCAGAGTTTAGTCTCTGATTCGGTTATTAGTGTCAGCTACTCTAAGTATGCATCTGTTTTTCAGAAAACTCTTCAGATTCTCTGTTGCCCAAGTCCTTGGCCAGATCTTCCCTGTCTGGTCATATTTAACTCATGTGATTCTCTCTCTTTTATCTCTTTTTTTTTTTTTTTTAACTTTATTTTTCTGGTACCTGTTTGATTGAAGCAGAGCTATGCATCATTTTTAAGCTAAATGTATGTAATCAATAGTTCTGTATTAATACCAAAGGCACTTTATCCATTTTGTGGGTGGAATGAGAAAAATGATCACTAAATCATTTCAATATGAGGTTGTTTGGCTTGAAAGACCAGTTGTCTAAACTTCATCTCTAGGAAATTAAGTCACTTTAATTGCCCATATAACACTGAAGAAAAAAAAACATAACAGAAAATGGTTACCAAGCTGTTAATACATAGAGCTGAACAATACAAAAAGGACTCCTGATACTGTGCTTTGTGTGTGGTACCTAGGCAATTTTCTAGACTGATCTTCTGCAACAGCTTTCACTTGTAAGAAGAATTCTCTAAATACATAGGCTTTTTTCCTGGTTTTAATATTCAGTAAAAGTGCAGTAACTACAAGAAGCCCAAAGCATGGCTTCACATATTCAATAAACTTTAGTTATGTCTAGCCTGAGGACTTGGGTGTTCTCATCTTTCTTTATTTGCTTTATTCATCAGGACTCCTCTGTAAATCACTTCAGTGTAAGTCTGTCTGAAAGTCAGTGTATCAACAGTGAAAACCAGTTTATGTGCATTTTTCTTCATTAGTAGCTCAGTGTTTGAACATTAGCCTCCCTTATACCCATCTTCTGTTTCAAATGGGATTGATCTTTACATGGCAGACTACACGTTTGTTCTTTGCACCAAATCGCAAGGTGGGCATGGAAAATTAAAATAATCATAGAATAGGTAGGGTTGGAAAGGACCTTAAGATCATCTAGGTCTAATCCCCCTCTTCTGTCCATTGGTGTCCACTCTCCCTCTGTTTTGCAGCTAGCCATATGAGCCAAGTTATAACACTAATTGCTCTGTGGTTAAGGTCATTAGCAATCCTGATCTAGCATATACTTTTGACAGTTATGAATCATCCTCAGGATGAATTGTCTGCATGATAATGCATAACTTATACCAGCAGATGTGCTTTTTACCCTGATGTTGCATATTACTTGCAAACTGTTTTGAGAGTTTTAAGTTTGTTTGGTTTTTAAATGTCTCTCTACATTGGGGTTTGCTAATAGAACCTTAAGTCTTAAAGACAGTAGTAGTATCAGACTAGGACAGGCTGTGTTAAGGAGCAGTTCCAACAACAATATAATTTCTTTAGGAGCAAAGCTAATGAGAAAGAATCCTTTTCTCTTGTACTTGTTTGTGCTTGTTCCCTGTCTGTTACGCCACATACGTATAAGGCTGCACTCTGTTGGATCAAAGAGCAGGAGAGTCAAAATTTCCTGTCTTCTGATTGGGACATCTGACAAAAGAAATCCTCCATAACACCCCTTTCATTTCCACAAATTACTACTAATATTACTGAAGTTATTCAAGAATTTCTGAAGTAGCATCTTGATACTGTGAGAGATCCTAGGTGCTGAAGTCCACTGTTACATTTCTCCTTTACACATTGTCAGCACATTGTTTGTGTGGCTGTCTAACAAGCTGGACAAAGGTACACTGCTGAGAAATTGCCCCTGGTTTTGGTTTGCTAAGGTAACATTTTACTCGGTCAGTACCCAGACTGTATTCAACTGCACAGGCAGATGTGCCTGCACAGGGTAGCACAGTGCAGTGAGAAAGGGAAGGCAGAAAAGTTTTCAGTAGTAATGCTGGCTCAGAGTAATTACCATCCGTTCAGGCTATGGAGCTACAAGTCCCAGTAAAAAGAAATCGGAAAATGCGCTGTCTTGAGGGCAAATCCAACCCGAACAGAGGGAAAAGCAGCATAAGATATATGTAAAGTGGATGGTGTCATGTGAATTCTGTTATTTTTAAAGTATGATGAAAGATTATTTCATGCATTTATTCAAAGTATATAGATTGCATACTAAACTAGAATTTTTCTGATGCTACAGTGATGTGTTTCAGGCTTTTTGGCATTGTATTTAGATCTGTAAAGTATGTTGCTAGCCTTACCTATGCATTTAGAACTGGAGTGCCTCACATAAAGCGGGATTAACCTTGAGTTTTATGGTTTAACCTTAAATATCAGTGCAAGTGATAATCCAGCATAAAACCAAACTTTTCACTATTTTAAGAGGATTTTTAAGTGTCTAATTTTCAGATAATTGAAAAATGTTCTTTCACATTGCTATCCTAGCCTGAAGTACTTTCCTGAAAGAATGGTGCTGTTTAAATAATGTCAGCATCTAATGACTTGTAAATAGATGTGTGTAATACACTGCTCAGCTTCAAGGTTTTTGTGGATTTGCATCAGTTAACAAAATTGCTGAAGTCCTGTGTAGTTGCAAGAGGAAAAGCTAACTTTTTTTCTTTAGCATTGCAGTCAGATGTTCTCTATTGCAGTCAAATGTTTTTCCGGAAAACAAGATTTATGGTGGCTGAAGAGTATTTAAATAACTGCAGTTTATCAGAAGCTTTCAAGTTCAAAACTCTGGTGGTTTTTTGTTTGGTTTTTTTTTCCTCTAACATTTGAAATAAATCAACAGCTTCCATGAAAGTTACTTTAATGGATTTGTTTGAACATCTAACTGATGATTTGAGAATTTGAAAGCAGTTGATCAGATTTTTTTTTACTGTACTCATGAGGCTTGAATTTCTACTTAAATGCATTTTTTTCTTCTTTTTTAATGCACAAGTAAGTGCCTTATTGGCTCAAATCCAAATTTCTTGCAACAGTTTAACATTTTTTTTTATTTACAAAACTCACAAAATAAGTTATTAATTAGTTCAGCAGTAACAGCTTTTTCCATCAGAGTTCAGCTTTCATTATGTGCTTTCAACGTTAAGAAAGGATTAATTTTTCTTAAGTGAGCAGTGCCAAGGGCAGACTTAAGTGAAACTGTGCTGGTTTTAAGTGACTCAAATAATTATTACTTCCAGTGATTATCCATCAGCTGGTGCCCTTGCAGGGAGGATGCATTGGTTTTGTTCAGTTTCTTCTACGTTTCGGTTTTGTTGATTGGGGTTTTGTATGTGCGTGTGTTCATTTTTGTTTGGGGTTGGTTTGGGTATTTTTATCATGTGAACAGTGCTCTGTCTTGATCACCAAAGAAAGTTTCAGAAAACAGATTTCATTAGAATTACTTGTGCTGAGTGATATACAAATTTCAATTTCAAATAGTATTTCTTACCTAATGAGATTCTGGGCAATCTTCTCAGTGGCATTATATGCAAGATTAGTGATGTAGTCTACTTACTTAAAGTTCATGCTTCCTTTCTGCCCTTTCTAGAGCGGTTTTAGATTACAAATAAAATACCTATATGTCTATACTTCACTCATTCTTGAACATAGTCCAACACTCAGCTTGACTTCAGTCATCTGCAGAATGTTTTGCTGGGATTTGATTTTTGGCTGTCCTGTTTGAAATGCTTCAAGAATGTTTTTTAAGCAGCACTTAACAGTGGGGCTGTGGTTATAGCTGTTTCAGGTGATGACTATAATTGGAACACAGAGAGTGTGCAGACAGTTCAGATCAAGCATTCCACCATTTAATTGCCAGTTACTTGCAGGGAACTTGGTTCTCCTAGGCTGTTTTAATTCAATACAGGATGTCGGTCACTGTACTTCACTCACTGTTTTGAACTTCCAGTAAAACAATGTGTTTTGCAGGACATTAATGATACTTTTAATGTAGACAGCCATCTTGATAAGCTGTTGGTTCTGTCTGCTTTTATTATTTCCTGATTCATGTATGTTGTATCAAGATCTGGTACTGTCTCAAAGCTTCATTAGCCTGTCCTTTCATTCCTGTTGGGGAGATGATTTGCTTTAGTATATTTGACTGTTAAAATAATGTTAACTTCATTCCATGTATAACTTTTCAGAAGTGTTGCAACTTTCCCTCTGTCTCTTTTCAGAGAATGGACCTTGGAGAATGTCTGAAGGTGCACGACCTGGCATTAAGGGCAGACTATGAAATAGCTTCCAAAGATCAAGATTTCTTCTTTGAGCTTGATGTATGTGTTTTGTCATAATGGCGGAGAGACAGTATAACTTTGTGTGTCTAGGTAGATACTGAGCCACAAAAATTAAGTTTTGGTACATACAAAAGGAGTTAATAGGCAGAAGAACCCTTGGCTCAGTTACATAAAAGATACACGTTTCTTCATGATTGTATGCCAGGATTTAATGAATATTGGTAGTAGACCTGGATGCTGATACAGTGTTATCAAGTAGCAAATAAATGCTAAGGCTGCGCATGCTTCGAAGAGAGCCGTAAATTCTAGGCTTACTGAAGAAAATAATTTTGTACTGGGGTTAACAAATCATATGCTGTGTCTCAGTGAACCATAGTTTGAGTAATGTAGTTTTGAACTCCCAACTAGGAAGTTAGTCTTCATTTGGACAAAAAGGTTTGGGGTTTTTGTTCGAAGGGATGGTGTTAATATGCTTAATAGCTTAAAACTCTACTGAAGAAAAGTTACATTGCACGTATTGGTTGGGTGAGATGGACATGAATACCCTTAGAAGAATTTTAATGTATGTTAGAAATGCTCTTTTCTTTTTAGAGAAGGCTTAAGACAGATTAACTTCCAAATTTCTGCAAATACTTACAACTATGATTATGGTGTAGACTAGGATCTTTAAAATGTTGCATATTTCTATATGCAATTAGTCACCATAAACTGATAAGATGGTTTTACAAAGTTTCACTAATAAAAGCTTATTAAAGTTAAGTCTTAATAAATCTGAAGTGTTACGGCTAATGAAATACTCATGTTCTTGACAGCATTGACCAGTGTTCTTGTTGATGTTTCAGGCAATGGACCACCTGCAGTCATTTATTGCAGACTGTGACAGGAGAACTGAAGTGGCTAAGAAAAGACTAGCAGAAACACAAGAAGAGATCAGCGCTGAAGTTGCAGCTAAAGTAAGCATGTAAAACTAGTTACTGAAGTCTCTTTGAAGGTCTGTTTTTCTGAGGAGCCAACTTAAGGCTTTGTCAAGCTATCAAACCTGAGAATTTATACTGAGGAGGGGGTAAAAATAAGTTTACTTTATCCTTTTCAAAACTGCCTTTAAAGCACAGAGAGGGTAACACAGGGAAGAGACCTCTCTGATATTTTTGTGCTTGGGAAACTTGACTCTCCATTATACCATGCAATATAAATGTTAGTAGTTCTTAATACTTTTTGATCAAAATATGAAGTAAACAATTTGATGGGCTTTTCTCTAGATCTGCTGGGCAAAATAAAAACTTTTATATGTTTTCTGCACATATGCACATGCTAGGGATGAATGGTAGTGCAAATACTAGTTTGCAAAGATTCACACAGACAAGACTGTGAACTACTTGGAAGTCTGAACAAAATTCTGCTCTTGAGTTGGTACATAAACTTTAACTCAGCCTTTCTCAGTGTGGTTTTACATGAGGCAATTTCTGTTTCACTTTTACCTGGAGAAGTTGTCTCTGCATGCTTCTTTTAATTCTGTAAATTTTGCATATAATAACTCAAAATAGTTTGTTTTCCATAATAAAAAGTATTTCCTGTGTTAAGCCTTTATTTCTCTTTCAAGGCTGAAAGAGTTCATGAATTGAATGAAGAAATTGGGAAACTGCTGGCCAGAGTAGAACAGCTTGGAGCTGATGGCAATGTGGAAGAATCTCAAAAAGTAATGGATGAAGTGGAGAAGGCTCGGGTAAAGAAGAGAGAAGCAGAAGTAAGTTGACTGTGTAAGGCTTGGGGGATGGAAAGGACAGGGTCAAGATTAAAATGGTTGGCATCTGTGTAATGCAAGATGTCTTACCTGCTTTCACTTAATTGCTTCATATAAAACTAAAGAATTTGCTTTGTTGGAATCCTGTAAAGTTTCTCTTTTAAAAGTCACTCCTATACTATTAAAATTATACCCTCTTTGGCGACTGATGCATTTATCTTAGTTTAGCTGTATTGGCCAGTTGTATGTATGGACACTAGAATTGTGTCTGTGTTTGTTGGACTGACTTACTTCATTCAGTCTCACAGCTGTTGCTGTGGCACCCCTGTTGTACCTCATGGTACGCTGATGTGGCTCATAGTGGAAAGCTTCAATGAAGTAAACTATTGTCTTTATTAAAACATAGTTACTCAATGGCTTGTGTATCGGGCAAGTCAGAACGGTCCTTGTAATGTTCAGGTGGCAGAACTCATCCAGAGCATTGCATATGGTATTTCACCAAGATATTTAGTAGAATTTTTGTAGTAGATATTTGTAGAAACAAACACCTGCAGCTGTTTTAGTGATACCAGAGTATCACTAAACAAACAAGCAGTCTTGTTTGTTTGTTACCTGAGTATCTGTAGATAAATTTTGCTCGGGAAACAACTACTGTTTTAAACTGAGTTCGAAATTAAAACTAATATTTTCATAATATGTTAACACAGTAATTCTACTGTTAATGTGTATTCATTGTTGCATATGAGAAAGTTGTTAATTCTTCTAAGTAATATGGTCTTAAATAAAGATGACAATCACCTCACTTTATTTAATTTGCAAAACCAATTGCTGATATCCTGCTTTTAAATATGTCCAGTCTTCAAAATAAGGAGCCTGCCTTGTATCATAGAATCATAGAATGGTTTGAGTTGGAAAGAGCCTGAAGAATCTAGTTCCAACCCCTTGCCATGGGCAGGAACACCTCACATTAGACCATGTCACCCAAGGCTCTGTACAGTCTGGCCTTGAACACTGCCAGGGATAGAACATTTACCACTTCTTTGGGCAGCCTGTTTCAGTGCCTCACCAGCCTCACAGTAAAGAACTTCTTCCTTACATCTAACCTGAACTCCCCTGTTTAAACCCATCTCCCCTTCTCCTGTTGCTACAGTCCCTGATGAAGAGTCCCTCTCCAGCACCCGTGTAGGCCCCCTTCAGATCTTAATGAGACAGTTGATTTATGAATAGTGTGAATTAACAAAAGGGTATGCTGGTGTACACAGAATTTGGTTATCAATTTGTAGTATATCTTTGGTAAAGTGTTATCTTTGTATATCTGTGCATTGAGAATTAACTGTTAGCAAATCATTTTGGTGGGGTTTTTTTTGTTTGTTTGTTTTTTCTCCAGGAAGTATACAGGAATTCTATGCCTGCCTCCAGCTTTCAGCAGCAGAAGCTACGCGTTTGTGAAGTGTGTTCAGCTTATCTTGGTCTTCATGATAATGATCGTCGACTTGCTGACCACTTTGGAGGAAAACTTCATTTAGGATTTATTGAAATAAGAGAGAAGCTTGAGGAACTGAGGGTAAATCATTCTTCCATTTTTGTGTGTATATGTGTGTGCTACTACTTAATTACTTGCCAGGCAACCTTAATGGAGTATTTCTTTCTGGGTGTTTTAATTTTTTTCCCATATTACTTTAAAAGTTTGGATTTCATTAGTCTACAAGACTAAACATTCTAATTAAATATCACTTACCTGGTTAATTTGGGATGATGACCTGCTTTATACTGAGCTATATTAAAACGCATTTTCAAAGGAATGCATCTTTGGAACAGAATGTGCAATTGTACTTGTAAAATGGATTGCAGTATTTTGAATTACAGTGTTACTGAAACATATTTAGCAGTCATAGGAGATAGCAAGATGAATTTTACTATTAGACCGTTGGCTGCTTAAAAGTAATACAGAGGCTTCTGAAACTGCAGGAGCATGTAGTGGGCCTGGATGGTATTTTATTATTAGGATTGAATATTAACAGGCCTGGTGTTGAAATCCTAGTTTTTGGTGCTACTACATAAGGAGGATGATAACACATGCAGAAGTTCCTAAAATAAAAAGATCTACAGAAATGCTTGGAGCTCAAGCAGCGTGCTGTAGGGTGAAAGACTAAAACTCAGTTTGTTTGTTATTCAAAGATTAGGAGGTTACTTTTATTCTATAGGTACCAACCCTATAGAATACCTCCTCCCCGCCACTCCCAGAGGGATGGGGAGGAGAATCGAAGGAATGTAATTCCCACAGGTTAAGATCAGTCCAGAAACTGAGGTATAGCACAAACCACTACTGCTACCACCAATAATAATAATAAGGGAAATAGCAAGGGAAGAGAAATACAGCCACTCACCACTCACCAACCGATCCCCAGCCTCACGCAAGCAGCGATCTTTCTTTGCCCCTGAACCATAAGGGAGAGGGAGGATTAGGGCAATAAGATATTTTACCTTTATCACTGATAGCAGTAACTGAGTAATTGACTATTGATTGTCCATTACAGTTTTATTGCTGTGGCTCATTCTTGTAAAACGACATGTTAGAAGGTACTCATAATTAAGAAAACTAAAGAAAAAAAAAATAAAGAAGATTTCTCTTTTTTTAAAGTAATTTTTGAAGGCTTTTAAGCTTAACTGACCATAGGTGAAATAAATGAGCTCCAACAACTCAAGGCAGTAGCTATCCACAGTCAGAATACAAAAATATGTATATCTTGAAGTCAGGCAATTAAAATTATTGTTATGGGGAGGTTGCATGTTCTCTATAGCTTGATGATTTGAAATCCAGTTGGAATATTATCCTAATCTTGATCTTGACCAGAAATTGTGTACTGGAAGAAAGATTTACTGGAATTATATTCTGGACTTTTTGGTATTCAAGGAAATGGATTCAGACACAGATGTCATTTCTAATCTTACTATGAAAGTTGAGTTGAAGGCCAAATTAAGCATTTAACTGTAGAAATCACTAAAGACAATAGCTACATGGATCAAAGTCCTAAAAGCAGAAAATTATGCTACTGAGTTTGAGTAAATCGGCTTGGTTTATATTTCATAATATTCCAGCTGCCTTGCATGAATACTGTGTGACTTATCCTTTGGAAAGCCCAACTCTTTCTGCTGACTACATTGGTAATTTAGGCTCCTAAAAATAGCTGCTGTAACTTAAACCTTAGATGCCTGGAATAGATCATGTGTGCTTCCTTTCATCCGTCCATGAAGTTATGGAGTCACTTAAGCAAGAAACCTTGCTTGTAGTTATATTACTGATGCACAAAGAAAAATAGATAGAATTTGACATAAAGGTTTGATACAACCGATTATTTGCATCATTTGGGAAGGAAAAAATGCATGTATAATTATTTCACATTCCCAAAACATCAATAAAATAATCTTTTTAAGTACTTAACTAACAAAAAAGAAAACAATAACTATTCCCTCCTTCCTCAGAGCTCTCCTCAGAGATCTAATCAAGATGCTGCTGGGGCAGTTCCGCATCTCAGAAGAAGGTCTTTACAAAGAGTTGAATTTCTTGCATCATGTCCAGAAGGTGGCAAGACTTGGGTTTGGCCAGATCTCCAGTTGTGAGTTCCACATCTGAGGGCCCTCTACTGAGCGTGCCTTGTCCCCAGTAGTAGTGAGTTCAACCTGGGGTCTGCCAGTGGAAGCATCCTCTCTAATTATGTGTCTCACGGTCACAGTATAGAAGCACATAGCCTCAAAATGATGTACTGGTCCAACCAAGTTCTTAGAGACTAAGGATTTCTTTGTCACAGCATAGGTGAAGGAGTTAAAACCGTTAACTCTCCCAGTTTTGATTCCTTTCTACCTTTCCCCAGTGGCCAAAATACAACGTGAGAGTTTCCATGCTAATCCCGTTAAAGGCATGATTTACTGCTCTGAATTCCCCTTTGTGGAAAACTTAATATAACTACATATTTCAGGTCTTCGTGTCACACCCATCTGATGCAACCCTTCTGCAATAACTTCTGGTTTTTAGCAAAAAAAAAAAAAAAAGCTGAGGAAGAGAGGGAATAATTACACAAGGGAAAGGGAATATACATGAGGAAAAGAACTGAATATTAACTGTCTAGATGATTTTTATAGCACATTCATGTTAAAAATTTTGAATCTCAACTGAGTGAATATGTCTTTTGCTTTTAGAGGATTGTGGCTGATAAACAGGAGAAACGAAATCAGGAACGCCTGAAACGTAGAGAGGAGAGGGAAAGAGAAGAAAGGGAGAAGCTGAGGAGGTAGGCATCTATTTTAATTGTGTATACATAATGACCTATTTAACTTCAGTGGGAAAAAATAAGATGTAGTTCATACACATCTCTACATCTGCAGAACCACAATAATCTGCATTCCTTGGAAACTTAAAAGGGTCAAGAGTGAATTTCATGTCAAACTCTTAAAGCATGAATTGCTTTCATAGAAACCTTTTTCAAAAAAATGCGGATAGAATTGTCTACATATTTGAACAAATAGCCTTTAACTGAGATAATTTTGGGGTATGTAGCTTGTTTTGAGATCTGACAGATGCAAGCTTACATGCACGTGAGTTTCAAACATCTGGTAGATGTTAGGTATTTTCTTTATAGATGTTAAAAGTTTTTCCTTGCTGGAAATAGTTGAATGTATGAATGAGGAAAGTAATTCCCTGTTCTTCCATGAAATGGTTGCCTTCAGGCTAAAGTGGCATGGAATTTGAACTGCAGTTCTCCTGACATACTAGCTTCAGAGGCTAACAACATAAACTTTTGAGATCTGTGGCAGACTGATAATACGTGTGTGATAAGAAATAAGGGAGTATTGCCTTGAACCTTTTATGTGACTTTTTCTGTGGGAGGGATGGGAATAAAAAGCAGATTAGATATTCTTTTGGGTTTGCAGTATGGTGGTCTCAAAATAAATAAAAACCAGCAAACACAAAACAGATGTCAGAGGAATATGTTTCCTGGTAAACATGTTGCATAGGTAACATCAAATAAAAAGCCTTTAATTGCTAGTAAAATAAGAAATACAGTACCAGGTCAACAGTCTGGTTTATTATTACTAAGTTGTAGTTTAATAAGATTCTGTAAGGAAAAATTATATACTATTTTCTGTTTATTTCAGGTCCAGATCCCACAGCAAGCATGCCAAAAGGTAAACAAATCTGCAGACAAGGAATACCACCAGTGAAGCCAGCCTTTCAGAAGCTGGAACATTTTGTCTAGCACTGATAAAGATGTCCGCCTTTACAGACAAAATATTCTGTTATGTAGTCATCTCCCTGTGTGTTTATACAGTATTTATCACCATGCTACTTCTGTTTTGTGGCTACTACAATGCAACTTACTGCCCAAAATGACATTTAGAACATAGGGTTGCTCTTTCTGCAGAACAGAAGCTTCTAGTTGATACCTTTTGGTGAAAACCCATATCCTAAGCACTAGGCTAATTCTCAGCAGATGACCCGTCAATAGTATGAGTTTTCTTCTTAACTTACACAGATGAAGGTCACCCATGAGGTATTACTGCAAAGTAATAAAAAAAAAAGAGGGGGGGGGAGAAAGGGATAGGTAATGGTGCTTAGCCTTCTAGAATAGTTTTATTGCAGTAGCTATGGGGAATGATATAGTCCTGTTTTCTCAGAACATCGTAATACATAGGTTCTGGGAGATGATCGCTGTCAGTGCGTTACAAAGTTCTACAACTTCACATGATAAAGACAAGATTTAAAGATCTTTAAAAAGTGGGGTTTTTTTCCATATTTTTAATCCATTTCAGAAGCCTGAATTGGCTATGCTGTAACCATACATACAGTCACAACTTGATTGTAAAATTGGCTGCATTAGTCACAGTGGAGGATTGCTTTCCCCTTTCTGCCTATGTTAGGACAATGCCATAGCTCTGAGCACCACAGACCATTCTCTGTACAAATTTGCTTATGCATACAGTGCATAATATTCATTGTACACTGATAGAGTAGCCACGTGAATGCAGTGTCTGGTCTAAGTCCTTTCTGTTTCTAGATCTAGGTCCCGAGATCGCCGCAGACATCGCTCTCGCTCAGCCTCCCGGGAACGAAAGCGAAGAACTCGCTCCAAATCCCGGGAGAAACGCCACCGCCACAGGTCTCGCTCTACCAGCCGCAGCCGGAGTCGCAGCCATCATAGGAGCAGGCATAGTTCTAGGGAGAGAAGCCGAGAACGCAGCTCCAAAAAGAGGTAAATACTTGCCTAGAAATAAATGGCTTTTGCTAGATGCGTGATGTGAATTTTAACACTAAATTAATTTTACGTTTCCCACTTGGTAATTTAAACACATTTTAAGACTGTCTCAGATTGTATTGTCTTGAATGTGTTCCACTGTAAGTCCTTCACTTATACATTTAGCATATTTATGACTTTACATACCATAGTGTTTTGGGTTTTAATTAAAATAATAGGGTTAGGTATTATTTCTATTTCAGACAAGTGACATTAAGTATTGGTGTCAATACTATTGGCTTACTACAGCATAGAAACTGAACAACTGATCTCCATTTGAACCCAGGGATATCAGCAGTCTGCTTGCTGTCATACATTCGGTTTTTTTACCTTGGGCTTTTGTTCCCAGCACTGGAGCCCATCTGTGTGTACTGTGCCAGACAAGTTTAGATATGCCTGAAAATAAACTTGTTGCATTGCATCTGAAGATGTTGCTTTGCAAAGAAAGTGGCTCAACCCCTCACAGAAGGATTACTGCAGAGAGCAGTCTGGAGCTGTTGCTTTTGAATGAGTCAGTTGCTGTTTGCTCCTGAGGATTTGCTGGCTTATTTTAGATAAGTGAGATAAGCATAATTTAGGAGAGTGTTGGAGTTGCACAACGTCACATCTAGCAGGGAGGCCTGCTCATAACCAGGGTTGCTTTCTTCTGTAGGTCAGCCACTATGGCATAGGTCTGAGAGCAATACAGTGGATGTAGTGCCCAGTGTTAAAACCCCAGCAGTCTCTCAACCTGCAAGAAGAGAAAAGATGTGGTTTTGAAATGAATGCACACACAGAGTTTGCAATTGAAATTATCTTAGGAGTCAAATCACCAAGGATGAAGAAATAAGTGTTGAATGTGTTCAAGTATCTCATGGTCTCTATTCCCTAAAAATGAGCTGCTTTTTTCTTCCTGAAGTATGTATGTGGCTGTAGTTGTGCTGTCTAAGAGAGCATAGAAAACAGTGTTGATGCAAGTCTTTTATTTTCTTTGCTTTGTTGCAGATGGATAACTGAAATGTCCAGTATTCTACTTGATGTAATCAGTAGTGTCTGGTATTTAGAATTCTTCAGGGTATTTTTTAGTCTCATCAGCATTTTAGACGGGGCAGTTTCCATCTTGATTATAGCCTGTCATAGTTATCCTAAAGAGCATGCCTCTTCAAGGCATTCACAATGGCAGATAAGCAGATCTTCAAACTTGTAGCTTTTCAGTCTCAAAATAAACATTTTCATTTGAATCAACACACTTGTTAACTTGGATGAACCAACGTATAGAGCATATGCTGAAATTGCCTTTAATTCTTCAACTTCGAAGTTCAGCCTTGCAAAACTCAATTTCAGTCCTTTGAAGAAAACTATACTGATTGATTGTTCCACAATTTTCATTGTAGTTGTTCAAACTCTCCAATATGATGTGCATAATACAAGTGATGCGTTGTCTTCTGTATGTTAGCGGAGAAGTATGTGAGAACCAGGAAATGGTGTGGACCATTGGTGCTATCCACGTAACAGTAAACCTGTCAGTCTCAGCTACCAGAGTTGAATTGAAAAAGCACAGGGTGATCTGAAGATAAAGTCAGTGTCTTTTTGCAAGATAATATCAAAAGATAAGCCCTTTGAGTCTTGTTTTGTATGAATGAGTATTAAAAAAATACAGTGTACCTTAGGGCACGCGATTTCAACTTTATAATACTCAGTACTGGAAATACTTCTCCTGATGTCAGTTCCTGCCCTGAAAGAATGAGACGCACCTGAGTTGTGAAAATCCTTGGTACCAGTCATTGTGTTACTGTTAACTTGAGGGGAAAAAAATAATGATGCCATCATTAGCAGCTCACAGAATATTAGAATGAATCTAGTTCCAGTCCCCTTGCCATGGGCAGAGAAACCTTCCATAAGACAAGGCTGAACTCTCCCTCTTGAACTTCATGAGGTTACTGTCAGAACATTTCTTCAGCATGTTGAGGTCCCTCTGAATGGCAGCATGACCCTCGTGTTATATCACTTCAGTAAGAAGTTCTTATGTAAACATCCTTTTTTTTTGACAGTTGAAATAATGAATAGAGCTGGTTGGTTTGTTTGTTGTTTTTTTTTTTTTTTTTAAACCCCTATAGTAGCTCAAATGACTAAAATGGGAAAATCTTTGGACAGGGTTTATTTCTCTGACCTCAAACAACATTTTTGCCCTTAGAGTATAGATACTGTGTTTTCAAGTGTCTGAAGAATTTGTAGAGATGCACTGAGGACAGGATAGCTATTGAACTTGCAGAAAGGCTGGATACCTCTTTTTTTTTAGAGGTGCCCTTCTAGCCATTAGAGCTGTTTTTCACATGAATGTGGGAGAAGTCCTTTTGAATACTCTGCCGCTGTTGATGCCAGAATCCAAAACAAACCTGAACTAATAGGCTCAAATGTATTCTATTTCCTTGCCTCCTAAGAACTCTTTTTCTAGTCCAGGGAAGCACTTGCTGCCAAGTCTGGATTTTTTTGTGGTGGTGGTGGGGTGTGTGTGTGTGTTTGTTGTTTGTTTGTTTGTCTTGAGGAGTTTCTTAAAATACTGATTCGAAATACTTCTTTTATTCAAGCCTGCCTCTTTAAGCTCAAAGCATTGAGTTGTTCAAGGAATTCTGGCAAGCATACTCTGGAAAATAAAAAAATACTCCATCAAGTTACCTTCTTCAGGAAGGAGTCATAGTCTTTTTGTTTTGAATAACCAGATTGAGATCTGGGAAACGTGGTGCTTTTGCCAAGCTCTTGCAGAAGAGCCGAGTGTGGCACCAGAAGCAGCAGAAAGACAGCTGAAAGCCACAGCAGTGGCAGCCGATGGTGCCACTAATTGTAGGGTCTGAAGAGATATGCGGCATTTTGGTTGCTATATGGGAAGTGTTGCATCATTTTATGTTAACGTAAAGTCTTCAGTGTGATTCTGGGACTTGGTTAAAGTACCATAAAATACAGTTATTGTAGGCTTCTGAATCCTGCTGTAAAAGCTATTTATATGTCTGGGATTTTTTTCCCATTTTGATTGCATTCATTATGGCTTTAACATGTAAGCATACTAGGCAGTTAGACTCCTTACTGGAAAAACTCTTGATGTGTTTCTCCTGGAAGTCATTTTCCCATTCTGTTCTGTATAACATTATCACAGGCAAACATTAGCTGACTATTACTCTTTGCAGCAAACAATGCAGTTTCTTCTGTTTTTCTTGTCCACCCTTCTTCAGAAAGTATTTTTTAGTTTCACATAAAATGAAAAGCTGCCACCCCTCAGACACTGCTTCGTTCTGAAAGTAAAGGGATGTTTATTGTGTGCTACATCTGAGGAGATACTACAAATACACAAATTTGTCTAACAGACACATTTTCTTTAATCTGTATCATCATTTGTCTTATAAACAGGTGAATGGGTTTAAATCTTTTAATGTCTGGGATATCATTTCAAATTTATCAATGTAAGGAGTGGATCTCACACTCTGGCACAACTGAATGTGCACAAACTATCCAGCAGCAATAGTTTGTCTAAGATAATTACCCATCTGGTAATAACAGAAACATGCCTAAGTTTATAGGGATCCTAGGTCTACCTGTGCTTGGATTGCTGGCCTATCAAGAGCAGGTTGAAGTAAAGTTTTGCTTTTCCTTGTTGTTAACTGTAAGTTCCAAATAACTAAAATGAATCATCATATTTAAAGTTAGATATTGAGATGTATACTCAATGAATCAGTAATGAATCGTGGCAGCAGACCTGAATGTGGGTAAATTGAGAGATGGTTGTGTCCATATATTTGAGCCCACTTACTCATGTGATGAGGGCTAATACACTCCCAGACAGACATTGTATGGATGAAGAGTACCTGAAGTCATAGGATGGGGTTTCATTTCACCTGGCTTTTGATGACTGGGTCAGATGTAAATCTCATTACAGACTCATCTGACATAATTTTATGTCTATTTTAAAATGAGATAAATCATGCCCTGAAGTGTCTATTTCTTCTGCATATTATTAAGGAAATCTGACTGTTCAGCTTAAGGTGTCTTCATTGCAACCATTTAAAGCTGATGAGATGGATCCCACCCAGCATTTAGACGATTCTTTAAATATCTTTCAGATCCCAGTTGACAGAATATTCTAGCCCTCTCCTATTTCTTTGCTGTGGCAAAGAAGTACAGACTTTGCTTTCTTGGTTTTCATGTGTTTGGTTGGTTTTGCTTTTGGTTTGTGGGTTGTTGGGGTTTTTTGCTTTTTTGTTGTTGTTGTTTTTTTGGGTGGGCGGGTGGTTGTTGTTTTGTTGGTGGTGGTTGTGGCTTTTTAATATATTTTTGTCATGTTTTGAGGAGCAGACAAACATTTTACTCCTTGGAGGGTTTGAAACTGTAGCTACATCTTTCTCTGCTTTCCTAGATCTGACTGCCTGCTCTAGGACTTTCTCAGGCTGCCCTGGGATTTTTGTCTAAAGCTACTTACAGTTTTTTGTCCTCAGACACAATGCAGGCATCCACAGATAATGTCTTGGAACCAGTAACACAGTTCATGGTTACTGAATGTGACAGCGTGGGTGCTGCCCACATATCTGGTGAAGAGTTTGGTTTCTGCTGAAGGAATCCACTTGATCAGTTGGGAAGTAATGCTTTCCAGTCATTCTAGGTAATATAAGTCTAGCAGAAGTTCTCATTGTAAAGGCTATGCCTTGCCCTTGAGAAAGGAAGGAATGGTATTTTAATTCTAAGTCTTCTGGCAATAAGACTTCTTGCTAAAGCAGTTGTATAAAATTACGTATCACAGTGGTGTGGTTCATTAAAGCCAGTCTTCCTTGTCATCTAATTAGAGGCTTACCTGTATAGAGGTGGGATGGCTGGTTGAATACATCTTATGTTCCTTCAGAAATGTGTTGAATAAAAAGCTAAAGCTGTGCATGGCATCATGTCCTATCTATCTGCCTATTCCAGGATTAATTACTACAGTTAGCTTGCAGGGGACTTGCAGCACCAAATACTTGTGAAACAGCTGTGCTAACTCTAGTATTAACTTCTTACGTAGCTCCACTTCTTATTTGTTGTCCAGTTTGTGGAATAGGAGTAATACCCGTGGATCTGAGTGTTGCAAATACTAAGTTTTGCAAAATACTGTATTGTAGGAAAAGTAATCTTTCCAGCTGAGGAATTAAAATGTAGCTTCTTTGTAAGCTTATAAAAGAGAATTAGTGCAAGAGTCTTTTGCAGACTTTAGTTTTGAAGCTTTGAGGTGATGGCAGTAACTTCTTGTAAGTGGAGAGAGTACAGTCTTACTGCACAGTACGCTGGCTTTTTTGAGTAAGAAATTAGTGGCTGCTTTATGGCATGTTGTTAAGATTTTTCCGTAGAAGTATGTATTAGAATCTTACGTGATTGCTGTACATCTTAAAATGAAAACATGATTTTTGCACAAGAGGCTTAGATGCACTCTCTGAGGGAATATAGAGGAGGAAGTGTAATCCAGGTTTTTTTCTAGTACAGGTAGCCAATATATTTTAAAACCACGTGGATTGCTTAACGGCCCGTTTCTGGCTCCATTGTAAAGGTTTTGTAAATGGCAATTATCAGAGTAAAATATCTAAAAACAGCACCACCCCTCATTGCAAAATCACACAATGGATAATTCCTCAAACAAAACTTAATTGTAGCACAGATTCCAGATTTGTGTTATATTTGCCGTGTAACAGCTTCATCCCAGAATTATGCGAGTTAAAGTCTCCCGTTTTTTAATTGAACTCCCATTTTTAACACATTTAAGTTTGTAATTTATATATCTGAGATAAGCTGAATTCCTCTAAAGCTGGAGACTACAGATGAGAAATTTCAATTCAGCTTCTGTTAATGCAAACTGAGGGTGGAGGTTGAAAATAAGAGATTTAGTGAAGCACATCGACCTTAATCTGGGCACTAATAAATGTAGATTAAATTCTGCCTCTAACAATATTTGTCTTTGGAAATTGGAAGTAGGAAGGGAAAAAGAGTAGAATGATTTCTCATGTCTTCTGATATATTTCTCTTCACATAAACCTGATTTTGGGTATGAAAAAAAAAGAAAAACTCAAAATGCTGTTTGATAGCTTATGACTTGTGACTCACTTAAACTCTCAAATTTACTGCACCTTTCAGATCCTCAAAGGACAGATCTTCCAGAGACAAAGAACGTTCAAGAGACCGTGATAGAACATCACGTGATAAAGATAGAAGCTCAAGAGAGAGGTCCCCACGCGATTTCAAGGACAAGAAACGTTCCTATGAAAGTGCTAATGGCCGATCGGAAGACCCGAGGAGCTCTGAGGAACGTGAAGCAGGGGAGATATAACTGGCTGTATATTCACCTGATCTAGCTTCCTATGGAGTTGCATACTATGGTTTAGTTTACAGTTGTTCAAAGGGACACCAGTGAGCAGTTCCAAACACTGATCCAACTAGGGTAGATGTACAGTATATAAAAGTGGTTATAACCAAGTCAGAATTAAACCCCATCAATTAATGATGCCTAAAGCTGGGTCCTGGACTTCCACCAAGTTGTAAAACTTTTCTGAAAGATTTCTCTTTATTCAGGACAACAGTTTTATGTACCAAGATGCAGATCTCAATGTTTTTAATCTCCTTTCCAATACAAGTTAGTGAACAAATTACGTTGTACTACTTGCCTTGGGTGCTTTTGAACCTTTATAAATTCATAGCTCCAGTCAAAACAGCAGCATTGAAAAGTTGTATTTTGGGGGATTATTTTTTTGTTTGTTTGTTTGCTTTTTTTGTAAGTGGGTGGGTGGATGGATATTAACTTTTACTTTAAGGTTGTCTTCCCAGTGATTTTGTTTTGTTTTTTGTTTGGGAGCCTAGGAGTTGATTACAGTGGGAGCCTTTAGACAGGAATGTGTGCTGGAGAAAGCGGAAATGTCTTTTTACAGTGCCTATTTAGATTTGGAAATTGAACAGCTGTTGCATTACATTTTTTTTTTATTTCTACTTAAATTTTGAAATCAAAGCCAGTCCCATATCTGTACCATTTGATTGGTATGTGTTCAATATATTTGTTTTTTTCCATAAGGACTCTTTCTGCTTTTTCTTGTGGGCTACATCCTTAATTGTATTACACACACAAAAAACCCGGCAACAACAAACAAAATCTAAGAACAAAAAAAAAAAAAAAAAAGGAACCAGTATTGTCCAGTAACTTAACAAGGATATACAGGTCTCTTAAGGTGGTTACTCTGCAGTTCAGCAAGGGGTTGGAACAAGATGATCTTTAAGATCCTTTCCAACCCAAGCAATTCTGTGAAACTAACATGATTTTTAACATACAGATGTGTTCTAGGAGAAGCAGTCTTTCTTAGGATGGTTAGGATTGTAATCAGATATTGTAATCAGGCAAAAACATGCATGTGGAATCATAGTTATCATGGCACAACCATTAACTCCTTAATTACTTTAGTTTCTAAAAGTTGTATTTCATTTAGGTGCAAGCTGCCTTTATGTAGAATCACAGAATGGTTTGCATTGGAAGGGACCCAAAGTCTTCTTTGAGCAACCTGTGCCAGTGCCTCACCACCCTCACAGGGAAGAATTTCTTCTTTACATCTAATCTGAATATCCCCTCTGTCATTTTAAAGCCATCACCCTGTTGTCCTGTCACTACTAGAACCCTTGTAAAAAGACTCTCCAGATTTCTTGGGAGGACCCTTTTACGTACAGGAAGACTCTTTACAAGGTCCCTCATGAGCTTTTCTTCAGGGTGAACAAGCCCAGCTCTCTCAGTCTGTCTTCACAGGACAGGTGCTCCAGCCCTATAAGCATATTCGTGGCCCTCCTTAGGACATGTTCAAGAAGTCCTTTGTCCCTCTTGTGTTGGGGAGCTGAATGCAGTACTTCAGGTGGGGTCTCAGGAGGGTAGTGGCATAGAATCCCCTCCCTTAACCTCCTTGTCAACCCAGGACGGGGTTGGCTTTCTGGGCTGCAGGCACACACTGATGGATCATGTTGAGCTTCTCATCAGCCACCACCCCCAAATCTTCCTCAGGGCTGTTCGCAATCTAGTCTCTGCCCAGCCCCTATTTGTGATTGGGATTGTCCTGACCCACGTGCAGTACTTTGCAGTTTGCCTTGTTGAAGCATGAGGTTTGCATGGGCCCACCTCTCAAACCTGTTGGTCCCTCTGAATGGCATCCCTTCCCTCCAGTGTACAACACAGCTTGGTTCCATCAGCAAATTTGCTGACAGTGCTCTTAATCCCACTGTCCGTGTTGTTGATAAAACAAAGGGGTTGCTTTTGATTCTGTTAGATTGAACATGCTTTGGGGCCAACAAATTATTCAGATATGTTCTATTCGCACACAGAATTTAGAAATTTGTAAATTCTTCTTGAGATAGCACCCTTGACATGTACTCTTCTATATCCCTAGTCCAAGTGCCTTTGTAGGCCTGCTAATCATGGGTGTATAACCACTGTAAGTACATTATGTGCATTTTAACCCAGTGTCTCTTCTGTAGCGCCTTCAGTATGACCAGAGCACATGGGTGCTAATTCTAACACGATAGTAGATAATTCAGCAGTATTTTGGCTGTCAGGGAAATGTGGAAGAGGACCTTTGTACTCTGCAAGGACTTGTATCCAGCGTGGCACATACACTCCACTTTGAATTCAGGTAATTTTAAGCTTCTAAAGAAATGCTATAATGAGCATGAGTTTCCTTCATGGAAATGTTTTACAATTTCCTGTGAGGCCTAGCTGTGTGATGAATGTAAGTTACCAGTGTTCATCCTCTTCGTATGACCACTCTGTTTAAGTGCTTGGTAACATCTATTGTCACACCTTTGTTAATAGAATTCTAGTGTTGTGGCAAAAGGTGAACAGTCATTTCTAGATACATCTTGCACAGCAGAATTGCTGATGAGTGGATTGCTAACGCCATTGTGATTCTTTTCTAGAATAAAGACTCCTATTCCAGAAATACTAAGGGCCTGTCTCCCCCTGCAGCCAGCATCTGGAAATTTTGTACTGTAAAAGATGAGGGGGGGATGGTGACAGAATTTGCATACTGTGACAAAACACAAGTGATGAAACACATTTCCAATGCAAGACTTGTGGAAAACATATTTGAAAGGGAGACTGCTTTATTGATTGTGCCTAAGTAAGTAAGGATCTTCCACCCTTCCAGCAGAACCTTAATTTCCAGGAAGAGAAAACTGAGGTATTCATCACCTGTGTATTTCCTGCTGGAGAGCTGAAGGATGGTACTGACTGACATTAGTTTGCATGATCAAAATTATTGTGGAAGGGATCTGGAAGAAACCTCTATCCATCTCTGCTGCATCATGTAAGAGCTTTGAGACTAACCAAATATTTTGGGCTGCTTCACTTGTGGTTTTTAATTTCTCATTCTTCAGTAAGCAGTTCAGCAACTGTTAAGCCAGACTTCTGGTCTAGAACCAGAAATACAGTGGTGAGATCATTCAGAAGATCAAGCCACTAAACCCACTAACCCACATTGAATACATCCTTACAGGCACAGATGTACTAGCTTCATGTCATGCTATGTGTCATCTGACCATGCTATAGTTACCACTTCCCACCCTGAGCTTGTTTGACCAGCTTTTCTCCTTTAGGTGCCTATTCAGCCATTGATTCTTAGGAGATTGAGAGAGCTAGAGGCGGCCTGCTAGACCCACGTGAAATCTGTGGGAGTGCTGCTGTGCCGTAATCCGTGTGTTGATCCACACTGCTGCTTGTTCTTCAGTAAGAGATTTCTCAGATCTGCAGGTCCTTGAGAGGTCCTGAGATTAGACAGTGCTCAAGGCCATTCCTGTTCAAGGAAAATACCTTATTTCTCCTGCAAGGAGGCTTACTGCAGCCTGGGAAGGGGATGGAGCTCCTAAGGGAACCTAAGGATGCCATAGCTGAGTACCTCTTTGAAATTTTGCTGACACAGTTGTAGCTCTGTAGCAATCAACATTAGACTGCAAGTGTGCAAACTGAGCAAAAAGAGTAGATTTGTTCATTTAACATGACTCCCAGTTTATTATTCTCCATATCCTGTATTTCATCTGCCACCTTCCTTGGTATAGTTGTCCCTTGTTCAGGAAACAGTAGAGGTTAGTTTCTCCCGATGCAGTCAGTGGCTTATAAAAAGTATGGACAGGGTCTTCATTCAGTCCTTCATCCAGTCATTCAGTCTGGTTCTTGCTCTTTGGTTTGGTTTGGTTTTTGTTTTGTTTTTTCTTCTTTGATTACTTTTTTTTTTCCTACTGGCTTCTTAATAAATTCTTGCACCATTACTGCTGATGCAATTCCTTAATTATTCTTTTCAGTAAGACCTGAGGCCCATCATTCACCGTAGCCAGCAAAACTGGGCGGACTGCTAGGCAGGAGTTGTATCAGCAGCTGGAATACAAGGAAGGAGCAGTCAGTGTTTGTTTATAGCCCAGGCTCTCCTCTTTATCCCTGCTTTCCCTTCCGTGGGCACATGATGAACAGTCAGCAGGCAATTAGAAAATTCTCTCATGACCTTTCTCCTGGCTCTGGCTTTTCACCTTCCGTTGCTCAGGAAACCGCAGTCTTGCATCACTTCCCCAAGCTCTTGGTGGTGCAGAGCGCTGCAGGACAGCAGTGTCCTGGGAAATGTACAATGGAGAGTCAGGATTAGCAGGCAGCACAGAGAAGGTCAAAAAGAGCCTGGCAGACAGCAGGAAGCACCATGGCTGTACAGCTCTTTCCCTGGTGAAATGATCAGACAAACGCTGGCTGTAGTAAAGTATTGATGGCGATGTTTAGTTAAGTGCGCAAAGCTTAGGAATCATTCCTGGTGCTGGCGCAGACCTGGAAAGGTGTCAACTTTCACAGCACTGGCCATCAGGCGGCGCCAGCACCGAAGACATGCTCGAGCCTCTGTGTGTCCATCACCAGAAGGTGGTGCATGAAATGGCTGTAACATCACTAACTGCTGCCATTTTCCTGAGCATTAACAGGTTTCCAGCAAAGCAACAGGAGTAAAGAACTGTTGTTTTCCAGCAGGGTAGGGTAAGTGCTGCTTTGGTGGAGGATGGGAACCATAATTCAGATGTCAGCTGAAATTCTACCCCTGCTTGTAAACCTGTGCAAAGCTCTTCTGGTGGCCCGTGCTAAAGCATGGTGATCAGCCTGCTCTGCCTGGTGGCAACGGTCAGTGGTTGCCAGGTGTCCTTGGTGGACAGTCTGGGGAGGCTGGATGGAGATCAGCACCACTGCCACCAGCAGCATGTCCCTGATTTGTCTCCTCCCATGTGGTTGTGCAGGAGGAAGATAAACCACCATGTTGCTGCCTGCAAGAGGGACACCACATCAGTGCTTCCTACTGCAGAAGTGCTTCCAGGGACATCAGAAGCAGAAGCCTGGGCTCTCCAGAGCATAAAAAGTATTCTTGCAGTACAACAGGACTGCCATTTCTGTTCTCCACTGAGTAAGCAAACAAGTCAGTCTGGGGTGCTGCTGGCTCACACCAGCAGAAAAAAAAAGACTCCTGTGTGTCTTGGGCTTGTTTGATACTGACCATGGGCAGTCTGACCAGTATAACCATGCTCTGAACTGGCTCAAACCCACCTGACTGCATAAGCCAGCAGTTCTCTGATATGGCATATAATGTTAACTGAGCCTCAATGGTATTACAGATATTCATCATCTCAGTATTAGCTTTAGAAAAGCTAAAGGGAAAAAAAGTAGCATCTTCTTTAACATCTCCTTTTCCTAAACCAGGATATTGTAATGAGAGAAAAAAAGATAATTTTGCAGTGTTGAAAACTGAGAAGGTTAGAGTAGGTCCGGAGGCTTTTTTGGTTTGGTTTGCACAATGTGTCATACCTGTGCTTTTATGAGACTCCTGACAGCCATGTCTGATAGATGAACATTTGAGTTCAGGGGCTGTCCTGTTCTTTCAGGGACCACTGGCTCGTAGTGCTGATTCAGATGTCACAATTCATTTGTCATATCTCAGAATGATCACCTGCAGGCAGCAATCCTTTCTCATCACTCACTGTACCATTACAAGCCTTGTGGTACCTTCTGTTTAACCAGGAAGGTGAACTGAGAGTCTAATGGGGATACCTTGCTCCTCTCGAGCTCTAACAGAAGTGACCACCCTGGCACTGAGCAGGCGCTAGGAACATCGCTGCTCCTGCATGTTCCCATCTGGGCTGTAACCTCACCACCTTCTACCTGTCACTAGGTGTTTTAAACAGCATCTAAAAGCCTTTGCGCTTTCAGTGTAAAGCAACACCTCTGAGGGATGTGTCTATACCTACACCCACAGCTTTACATCAAAGGAGCTCAAGCAGCCCTTCACTTCAACTACCAATAGCGCAAATGACCTTCCAGGAGGAAAAGTGGTTGCAAGGCAGGGTTTTCCTCAGGGCCCTGCTAGAAGGATTTCCTACATGCTTCCCCAAATCTTCTGCAAGGTCTCTAGTACCCTCTTTGGGCAACTCTGGGATATCTGAGACAACCTCTTCCCCCTTGCTCACCTCTAAACCCCTAGTGTCCATGCTCCAGGGAGAGGCAGGAAGGCCACCTGGCTCAGACTGTAGCAGGAAGATTACTACACTTCAATGCCCTGACAGCTAGGTTAACTACTGTAAAACACTCCCTGTCATTTCAAATTACCTTGGGATGTTCGTAGTCCTTGTCTCAGAGTGATTTAGTGATGCTGTTGCACACCACTGGACTTTTGGATTTTATCCCAACATTGATTTGTATCTGCATAGAGATGCCTTGCAAATGCAGCTTCCTCTGGGTAAGCTTCTGCTTTGTCACCACAGCAACTGGACTTTGTCAAGTTAAATTTCTCTCATCTCTTTGTCTGTGATCCTTTATTTATTCTCTATTCTTTGTTCTTTCCCAAAGCTTCCAGACCCCACTGGAAGGTTTGAGTTCACTCAATGAAGTCAATGAACTGTATTTAGGCACATATGTGTTTTTACAGTGTTTAGGTAATATTTTGCACCAGGAAAGTGTTTGACCTCTGCTTTTTTTCTTTAGCAACATTACTGACAAGGCACTTTCTTTTTAATAGCTGAGCAGATAAACTTCCTATACGAGAGCATGAATTTCCTCTCACTCCTCTTCCCTTTTCTCAGTGTTTCCCGTGTGTCTGCATTGCTCTGGTTTAGGTCAGACACAAAGACTCCACAAGACTTACCTGACTTGACCTATCACAGGCACTTGTCATACTACTGTGCTATGTCACAGATCTGTTGTCTCACTCAGACCTTCCTCATGCCCCACAGGCTGTAAGAAAAAACCACGAAGCTTGGTGTGAGGGCTTTGGTCCCACTCAGTGATCGTGAGCCACAGGAAATCTCTTCATCTCCCTTTAGGTATGACGTTTCCCTTAGGTTTCTCTTCATAGGATCACTTATCCCTAAGAACACATACAGTGTGTATAGCGCCATATATTTACCAGTTCAGTAAGTAGTGTGTTTGGTTTGCCTCCCCAATACATGAATGTTGCTGTTTTCCAGAGGCACATTAAAGTACGAGGAAAGTCAGACAGGATTGGACAATGAGGCTACTGGGAAAGTGGGAACTTGGCTCAGGTATCCTCACACTAAATATGTCATCTAACCTATGCTCTGTTGGGAGAGCTTCCTGCTGTCCTTTGAGATCTCAGATAAGCAACAACAGCAACAAAAAGGGCCATGTACTCCTAAACCACTCACGTCACACAATTTTGTCATGTTTAAAAGGCTTTGTTAATGGCTTTAAAAAATAACTCTCTCTCTTCTTAAGCCTGAGTTTGGTTTTTGTCACGTGCTTTACCTTTGCTACACTTCATCACAAGAGCAGGGAACACAAGAGCCTTAAAGCATCAGATGGTGTTGTGAGGCCCCTGTCAGCCCAGGCTGCCTACGGCTGCAGTGATGAGCACATCGTTGCAGCAAATAGTGCTCTTAGTGGGCATTAAAGCAAGTAAATGAAAAGGGGAAATTATTTTAAACTTTACAGAGTATTGACTACCTGTACTCCCTTGAAGGGATTTGAGATTAGAAATATTTTTTTACAAGTTTTGTTCTTTTCTGACAATACTTGGCGATGCACACAATATGCTTCCTTTCTCCCAAGCTGACTAAAATAGCAAATCAACTAAAGCAGCCTGCCCTATCCTCTCACTCCAGCAAGAGTTCATCTTCTGGACTTTGGCATTTCAGCATTCTTTACCAAACAAGTGGGATGGGTGAAGAAAACTACACATCAAAAGGAGAATTCTGCATTTTTAGCTGTTGACAAAATTGTTTTGTGGTCAATGAAAAACTTCCCACCACCCAAGGAGCTGGATTACTACAAGTGTGATGGTGCCTGGATGGGAGCTTGAGTTAGTTTTGGTAACCCCCACGCCCACACCACTAGTAACCACACACTGTAACCAGCTACCATTGCTGTACATTGCAGTGCCTTTTCTGTGCTATAAATAAGAGGATGCATCTGCTTTCTCTGTGTTTATTGCATTACACTGAAGCAAAACGACATGTGGTTATTTGCAGTTATTAGCTGATTATTTCCCCATGTCTAAGGAGAAGCAATTAAATAGTTTGGGACCCAGTTACTGCAGAAGGGAGGCTCAGGCCTTGTGACAGGAAAGGATGAGGGCAGCTAGTAAGCCTGATATTACCGCCCTTTCCTGGGCATGTGGCCAGAGCAATTTGCTGGGAGTAGCACAGTGAAATCCATGTGCAGGAGATGTTCATCCCTGCCCCAAGTGACCCAGTGGTGGCCACATTCGGTGTTGTCACCCTTTGTGCTGCAAGCTGCTCAGAGGAACCTCTCCAAGGTTGTGAAACTCCTCTGGCTCACACAGGATGGGACTTTCTGTGTGTCTTTCTCAGGCAATAGTCTTTCCAATGCACCAAACCCTCCACTGCTGTGGTTTACCCACAAAACAACATTCATGCCTCTTAAATAGTGACCTCTAAGAAGTCCCTGGAGATGCTCGAAAATGGTTTCCTGCTCATTGTTCATAAGGATGAAGAAGTGATAGCTGAGATAAAAAGCTGCTGGTGCATCTCTAGGCTGGTGCTGCTGGAAGGAGCAAGTCTTTCTCTCATGGATATCAAGCTTAAAGTCATCAGTGTAAAATGTAGTCTTCAAACACAGTGGCCAGAGGAGCCCACCTGAAGCAGTGAAGCTGCAAAGTACATCAGGATTTGTTGTTTGGCTTTGATGTATCTGCAGGTTTGATTTAGCTGTAGAAACTCAGTTTGCTAAGGCAATTACTGACACTGATATCTACATTACATAAGCCATTTTCTTGCCTTTTTTTTCTTTTACTTTTTCATTTTCCAACTGTGGCTGGAGGCCGAAAAGCAGCAAATCAGTGCTGGCAAGACGTTTGAAGAGCCTGGAGGTTGCATGGCCTCACCAACCTGCCTCTTTGTAGGCGTTGTTGAGGTGAGTGCAGATTTCGTTGGTCACCTTCTCAAAGGAAGCTTTGCAGTCTCCACCAAATTTCTCCTCCATCAGTTGCAAGATAATGTCACAGATAACCTAAACAAGGAGGAAGGAAGAACCAACCAGTGTCAACAAGAAAAAAATACATATTCTTAGTTGTGATTCTTGGAGAGCAAAAAGGGGTACAAGAACATTTCAGCAGTATATTGCGTACAAAGATTGTAATAGGTCATGGAAAAATACTTACAGAACTCAGCAAAAAATGCAGTTATACTGCTCTCCTTTTAACTATCCTGTGTCTAGTTAATGTTGACTGCACCCGTCACTTAAAGCTAGCAGGACTGTACAGGAAAAGGCCAGTTTACTTGGTACATCCACTGCAGTCCTTCTGACAGTGAATTGTCCCAAATGTTTAGAGGCCACAGGGAGTCCCATGTTGCACACCTATGGAATACATTGCTTGGGGAGTAATTTCCTTCCTAATCTTTCCTCGCATAGCAATCTAGTACTCTAGTAATGAGGGTTTGCTTTCATAGTCACTAGGTAGATGATATACTTCAAAATGTCAACTGGTTTTCCATGCAGTGCTTATTATTTTGTGTGCATCTTTACCCTGAAAAAGTATTTTCAGGATCTCTGCTGGCAGAAATCCTCACTTATTCTCCCACTTGTGGAAAACTGGGCCCACTGCATCGGAAACCACCTTCCTGGTGCCTGAGTGACCTTTGCCAGAAGGTGCCTCCTTTTGCATTTTGTGCTGTGTGAGGCAGACAAAAACAGCTATAAATGCACTCTGCTAGTGGCATCAGGTGGACTTGGGAAACTAGTTTGTTCCTGCGTTTATTATCTCTGTTTGTTTAGTGGTGGCAATTCTGTTCATGTTGCTGCTCAATAATGGTTTAGGTTGTCCTAGAAAAGCTAGTTCCTGCTACTAGAAAGAAATAGACATCAAGGACTCAAGTCCAGTGTTAAGCTTCTTTTCTTTGCCTTGTTATTAAATGTGTGATTCCTGTTGCACTGAGAAAACCCACTACAACTCGTGGGCAGCCTCTGCAGCTCCCACCTGAGCAGACCTGCCTGCATCGCATCTGCTGCATAGCCTCCTTCCCAACAGATGCCAGATCTCTCACTCCTGCTATTGTCCACCATCAATCATCTCACCTTCCACCTCTCCAGTCTCTGAAGCATATACATATTTTTATATACAAAGCCTGTTTTCCTCAGTTCTACCCCTCAAAGCAAAAGACATCCTCCCAGTCACAATTACAGTCCCTGGGAAGAGGGCTGCTGGCTCACCCTAAAGTTTTTGGGGTCAATCTTCAGCTGGGTGGCATGTTTCTTGCCGAGTGGGTTCACTATCCCAAGAAAAGCCTCAGAGTTGTCCAGGTGTTGCACCATGTCATTGATGGCAGTGAAAACCCTCTTGCCGTGCCCTCTGATCTGATCTGACTGTTTCATCTCTTCAGCAGAGTCCATGCCTTTGAAGTGTGAGAAGTAGGACTTGGTGTCTGGATGCTCGGTAAACATCCTGTTGAGAAATGAGAGACATCCCAATTTGTGGACCAAGGCATCAACATAGATATGGCTTCCCATTACAGGCCTTGTCTTATGCATTTATTGTCCTTTTTGCTTCTCTTTATTAGAAGGGGCACCTCTTTCCCCTGCATTTCTTGGCTCCTCTTTACCCTTCCCATCTGTGCATAGCCCCTATGCCCACTGCAGCCTGTCTCACTTCTCCCCAGGGCACTTCTCTTTGCTCACTCCACCTTAAAACCTACCTATCCTGAGTTTGTTTGCTGCTTCTGAAGTAAACATTTCTTCAGTGTTGACTCAGTGTTAAGCTGAGATAAAATGGACAGAGAACTAAGACGACAATATTCACATCAGGTGAGTGTGACAGGGCAGTATTCCCGAAAATGCACTGGACAACAGATAGGTCCACCGTGCTCTCGGTGGGTGTTTTCGTGGAGAAATCATACTATTGGTTTTGTTAATTATCCCCTTCCAAAGCCCATCCCAAAGCTTTCTTACTGCCTGTGATGGATTGTTGTTTGAGTACCAAGTACTGCTCACTTGGTTTATTCAAAAGTAACACAATTCAATGCCACTTGTAAAGGAATTGTCTTTTATAATACATCAATTACAGTCATCTTGGTCAAGCTCTTAAAAAAGTAGTTTACTCAGCTGGGTAAACCAGTTATTCACCTGACACAACAATAGCAAATTCTAGATTACATTTCACAGAGCCACAGAATGGTTGGGCTTGAAGGGACCTATGTAGGTCACCTACCACAACCTTACTGCTCAGGCCAGTTGCCCAGGCCAGTGTCCAGACAGCTTTTGAATATCTCCATGGACAGAGACTCCACAACCTCTATGGGCAACCTGTGCTACTGCTCAGTTGCCATCCCAGTGAAAAGGTGTTTCCTGATGTTTGTTCCCATTGCCTCTGGTGTTGTCACTGAATGCCACCGAGAGGATCCTTCTTTCTACCTCCCTTCAGGTTTATATATACATTGAGAAGATCCCACTCAGCCTTCTCTTCTGCAGGCTGAACAGTCCCAGGTTGCTCAGCCTCTCCTCACTGGATACAGGCTCCAGTCCCTTCATGATCTCCATGGCCCTTCATTGTATGTCCAGTACATCTCTTGTGCTGGGGAGCACAGAACTTTTCTATAGGCAAGGCTGAGGCTATAGGACACTAAGGCAAAACCTTCTAGAGTAAATTACCCTGGGGAGCCAAGCCTCTGGGTGCTTACTAGCATTTTATAGCTGCATTTCTGACCCTAACTGTCCTTAGGTTGTGTAGATTGCAGAAGGAAAGAGCAGCACATGACAGTTTCTGGGGCTGATCCAGCCACAAGGTGTGATATACAAGAAAGGCAGAGGTAAAGGCATAATAACCAGAAAAGTATTGAGTTGCTCAGTGCATATGGAAGTGATGCAAGTCCCAGCTGAAGAGGAATATGAGAAAGGTGAATGGAAGAAACTTGTGTCTTGTAGAAAAAGAGAGGAAATCAGAGTGAAAACAGAGAGGAAAGCCCACAGGAAGTGCACAACACATTGGAACAGCTGGGCTTTGGACTGGAATGCTGAAGGAAAATCAGAATAGAAATGTTTGGGACATGCAAGTTAAAAAGAAAAAAAAAAGTGATTAAAACAGTTTAGAGGAAGAGGGAAATAGGGCCCATGTTTTGTTTCCATTCTCTTTCATACCACACTTTCTCTTCTTTACCTTAAATGGGTGGGATAAATAATTTCTTCTTGTCTCTTCTTTCTTTCCCACCTCCTTCTCCCTTTCCTTTTACTTTGCATGGATCTCTCCTCTTCCCCATTTCCTACCTGAGGTGGGATAAACCACAGCAAATCAAAATGTTCTCAGCAAGGGCTCCATGAAAACCATCAGGACACGCTCCTAGGTGGTAACTCCATCCTTCTTGCCATTCTTTTTTCAACTCTCTACGGTAACAACAGATGGCTCTTTCCTTACCTGACCAGCACAGTTGTACCATTGTCCTCAGCATCCACATATATCTTCTCCCAGGCACCACGGGCACTTTGCACCTCTGCTTCAGAGAATGACATTGTGGAGGAGACGTTGGCAACACAGGGCACAGCAGGAGGGAGAAGGGCAGGGAGGTCCTGGCAGGGCGGTTATGCTCCAGTTCTCTCCTCAGGGCTCTCTAAATACTGCCCCAGGGATTTAAGAGATCTTGAATGAATTCTTTGTCTCAGTTCCCCTTGGTCACATTTCTGCAGGCTTTAGGGCTGCCTAATCACTTTTAATCAGGAAAGAAACCAGCCACATGAGGAGGGAGGACAAGCACTCTCACCATGGTGTCAGGTGCCAGAGCAGATTCTGCTGTCTGATGAGAAAAGGGGAAAAGGGGAGTTTTCAGTGGGGAAGAAAAAGACCAGCTCCCCTCCCCTCTCACCCTGCCAAGGCCAGTGCTTGCCTTCTTTTTCTTGAGGGCAGTCCTTGCTCAAGCACTGGTTTTCCTGATTTGCTCCCAAGAGGGCTGCTGTGCTGCAGGCACCGTGGTGCCCTGCTGTACCCTCTTCCCATCACCTCTTGGCCCTTCACTCCAAAGATCCCACTTCTAGTTCTAGCAACTCTCTCAAGTCCTGCTTTCATGCTACACTCACTACCTTCCCCATAGCCCTCTGGTTTAGCAGGGGCTCACCCTGAAGCTGCTCCTGACCTCGGTATTGTGCAGCTGGGAGGCGTCACCAGCAGTGCCACAGGGACGGTGATGGCAGCATGGGCACAGCATTCATGGCTGCGGTGCCCTGGAAAGCCACCTCATTTTAACACAGGAGGTAAGTGATGAAGGACAGCCAGGCCAGAAGCACAGGCATTTCACTACCCTCATCCTCTCAGCTTTCAGCTGGGATCACTGTCCTATCCCTAAGCCCTGCCTGCCCAGCACTGAGAAAGAGATGAGGGGCAGGGGAAAGGCCAGTGTGGAGCTGCAGATGGTGCCTGTGGGCCCATTATCCTCACGGTCACTTAGAACTGGAGGAAAATAAAATCTTGGATTATCCACACAGCACCCGGGCTTAACCTCTGGCAGGAATGTTCTCATTAAGTCCAGGCCACGCACATGAAAGAAGGGCTAAGGGGCTTGAGGAACTGCTGCTGCTGCTGGGCGCTGAGCGCAGACAAAACCTTGTATTGTTTGGGATGATTTGGAGGAGAGAAAGAGCCCACACAACAGGGGAATATGCAGCACAGCAAGCAAAACCAGCCCAATACCTGGGGCAGAAGGAAAGTGGTGGTTGCTTGGAGAGGTTGTGTCCCACCACTGCCAAGGAGTGCCTAAAAGGACTTCACTAAAATTCCCTTCCCTTCCCGCACTTTCCCTTTTCACCACAGCAAACAAAGAGTGGTCTGATAGAAAGCTGCACAGCCTTCTGCTTTCTCATCCCCAAATCCTCAGAAAAATGTCCCAGATTCCAGGAAAACCCGTGGGGGAAGGGAGGCTGCCTCTTTGAAGGCAAACACAAACTGGGGAAGTGCTATAGGCTGAGCCCAGCCACCAGCACAGGGGATGCAGAGGAAGTAGCAAGGATGGCACTGCAGGCTCCCAGACCTTGGAAGCCAAAACCACCTGGGATGAACTCAGTGGGGACAGCACCAAGTTTTTGGCCAAGAGCAGAGTGCACATCAGGTGCTTGTCATGTGTGGCCTGGGAGAGAGCAAGCCCCTGAAAAATGAGCACCCACTTTACTCAAAGGGAAAGGGGCTCAAGCAGGTCCAGAGTATGGACGCAGAGCTGGCTGTTCTTTGAATGTGAACGTGTACGACTGCGCTCACAACTTTTCCTCTCTCTGTAGATGTCCCTGGTGTACCCTGACTTGCTGTGAACAGTTCTCAGTGGGACAAGCTGGAGCGCTGTGGTGAGCCCAACTCTCTGGCTTGAGCTGTGGCAGCAATGCACATCGCTCAAGGATGAATCTTCCCTCTTAGCTTTTCCAGTCTTTTCCTCTTCAACTCTCTTGTTCACCCTTCATTTCTTTCTCCTTTGTTTTTTGTTTGCAGCAGCTCACAAGCAAACCTCAGCTTCCCTAGGGGACTTCTCTGCTCTCCTAACCTTGTCCGAGACATTGCACTACAAAGGTGCTCATTCACTCCATAGAGCATCAGACATCCTGTTGTGAGTGACAAAAAATACCCAGTTTGAGTTGGGAAATTTCAAGCAAAGTAAAGTATTGACAAATAAGAAACCAACCCACACACAAACACCTCTCTTCACCCTGTCCTAGTCCCTGTGGCACAGATTACACCCAGGCCCTTTGGCAAGACCATGGGCAGTGCAGGAACTGGGGGTTGGTGCACCGGGATCCTTGTACTTTCGCTGCTCCTTGTGTTGTACTCAACTGCTCCAGCATGGACTCTTCCACCAGTCACTGCCCCTTTGGGTGCTGCACCTGCCCTGGCCTTGTCTCTTCTTTTCCAGCATTCACTGCCCTTTCTTAAACCTGTTTCCACAGAGACACCATAGACTCATTGTTGGTCCAGTTGTGGGGTGCAATGGGTCAATTTTGTCCGGTGCCAAGCCAGCTGTGAGCAGCACAGAGCAGTCCCTGACCTCTTCCTGCACAAACAAACCCAACAATGATGTCCTCAAGCATGTCACCATGCTCTCTGTGACATGCTTTTCTATTCTTTCTTTCATCTGCTGGTGTTACTTTCACTGTTTTGAAAAATTATCTTCTATTTTCCTTCTATTTTGCTGAGCCCTTGTGAGATGAACGCAGTAATACCTCATAGAGCTTTGGTATCAATAACAGGGTTATACACATCTATACGGCACCTTAGGGGTCTCTAGAGATTGAAACAAAAACACTCCAGAAGCCTTTATCTTTTAGCCTTGGAATGGAATAGCTGTGAAAAATGTGCTGTTTAATCATAAAGTCTCACGTTGCTGCCGATACCGCTGCACCCCAGGGGAAGAGGGTGTCTGCCTGGTTTATTTCTCTTTCTTCTCCCATGGTTTCTTTTGTTGGATATCCCAAAGGAAGCGAATGCTCTTAAGTGTGGTTTCTGCTGAACAGGAACAAATATTTTCTAAGGGAGCGCTGGGCAGCGCTGCAAGCACAGGTTTGGCCGTGGATGGATGGGATGCTCCTCAGCAGGCAGGGTCAGGCTGGGGTGTGGAGGGGTGATGCAGAGTGTGCTGCAAAATCCCAAGCAGGGAGCACAGCCACAGGATTTTGGGTTGCATGTGGCAGCCAAGCTTCTCCTGGCTCTGTGCCCAGCCAGGAAAGCAGCGGATTTGCCTTCACAGCAGTGCAGGGAAATGGCGGTGGTTCTGGGAAGTGGGGCTTGTTTCGTTTTGATTTCTGAGAAACCACGTGCTTTAGGTTCCAGCAACAGAGGAGGTGATGGCATCCTCTCCCCACCCAGCCATTCAGGATCCGGCAGCGCTGACTGCAGAGCTTGTTGATGCCCCAGTCACAGGCACTGCAAAGCTGCCCGTGATTTCTTCTCTGTGACAGTTCATGAAGTTTAACATTTAATATAAATAAACCTGTTGCCCATTTGTTCGGCAACAGGGCTTAATTCCCAGCTCAGCAGAACATGACTGTTGTAGAGGATGGCTGGAAGGGGGTTGGCAACTATAATTCTTATTTTCCCAGCACCCCCTGTACTGTCAGGCAGAGGTTAGAGCCCCCCAGAGCAGGTACTGACGGCTTTATTGGATGCTTAGCTTGAGATGCTGACACTCAGTGCTGCTTTTTCAGAGATGACAAACACCAGCATCTGCTCCATGCTCACTATCTGAGGTTATCAACATTACAAGCTCATCAAAACAAGCAAAATTAGGAGCTATAATCACAGCTGTTACTGTCAATGTCTGAATGCCAAAGCGCACAGAACACATGGGTGGGAAAGACCTGGGGCTGACTCAAGCAGCTTTCCCAGCTGCTGCCAGACCATACTTCCCGCTCCTGTTCAGAAAGCAGTGGCAGGCTCTGGTGGAGCTCTGTTGCAATCTGCACTGCTGAAACTACCAAGTCCAAAGATCAAGGAAAGAGCACGCATTCCCACCTTCTTAGGACCTAGTCACCCAGAATGGCCCTCACCCAGTTTAAGAGCAGCACGATCTGACATGATAGAAACTTACACAGATTTCTGTTGAGAATACTTTCATTTTGCACATAGGATTTTAAATGTGAAAACAAAGGTGATGTATTCAAAATAGTCCAGCTTTTGTACATCATGGGGCATAGTATATATATGGAGTAATTCTCTGAATGCTGTTTTAATGATTGACAGCATTAAATAACATGGCTAGCAGTGATTCTAACACAGTCATTACAGCTAATAAAGGTGGCAGCACTGAGTTTTCATGTAGTGTACCCAGCTAACCAAATATTTGCATTGGGACAAGCTGGTGCTGAGCTACACCCTTAGTGAAGGGGGGGAAATACAACAAGACCCTAAGTGAGGCAACAGCAGTCACCACCTCCCATCATCAGACTGACGCCCAGCTGGTCTCCAAGTAATAGCTACTTTCGGGAAACTCTGCCTGGTTTTATTGCTGAGCACGGAGTTACAGGGTGCAGAACATGGCCTGGGTCAGCTGGGGTCAGCTGTGCTGGCTGTGTTCCTCTCCCAGTCCTTTGCTCCCCAACCCACCCCCTCCAACCTCCTTGCTGCAGGAGCAGAGCAAGAAAAGGAGATGGCCTTGCCACTGTGCAAGCACTTTTCAGCTATTGCTAAAACATTGGTGTGCCATCAACACCGTTTTGGTCACGAATCACACACCAACATACGGGTGGCTGTGACGAAAAGCTAACTCCGCCCAGCCAGAGCTAGTACAATGCAGGACCACATCATTTTCTTGGATAAATTCGGGACGTTCATACTGTGCTGAACTTGGGCACAGGCGCTGTAGGCAGGAGGCAAAGAAATGAGCTTTTATGAACATGGAAATCACCAAGCCCAAGTCAGAGATGTAGAGGGTACCCAGAGCCCAATAGAGAAGCTCAGGCATCAGCATACGCACTGCTCATATCTGTAATGCTACCACCTGTCATTTGTATCTACTCAGTCAGTTAGTAAGATCAAATTACCCAAAGGTTTAATGGAAACAACACTGCCACAGGTTTTGGATACAAGCTCCCAGACTACATTGAATTACTGCACCACTGTCTTGACTGAGACATGAGCACATGAATTACACACAATCTATGTAAGTGATGTGCTGAAGAGAACTGAAATCTATTCAGTGTCGCCATTGGCAGAGTTAAACCTGGACTCGAGATGAAGATACCTGATATCAGAGGAAGAAAGAATGAAGAAGACATCAGGCTAAAAAAAACACTTATAGTCTGGTATATCTGGAAGTTAAGACATCTGTCCAGAAGCTTTGTATCAAACACAAGTAGAGTACAGAAGATTATATTGGTGGTGTGGACTATTCAGAGATGCAACAGGGCTAAACTAGAAGGGCAAGAGATAAAGCAGCAGATAATCCTGCTGTCAGATACAACAGAAGGAGATGTGTTAGCCTGAAAGGGTGGTTGGTGAATAATGGAAGGAGCCATAGAATTATAGAATCACAGAGAATCAGATTAGCAAATTGTTAATCTGTGCAAGCAGAAGGCTGGATGATGACCTTTATGGTCCATTTGAATTGTCTATTGTTGAGTTGTTGTTTCTCACTTAAGCCTTCTTCTCCCTTGAGTTATTGTCCTTTCTGCTTGAGGTACTGAGAAT